TTCAGCTTTTAAGGGCCTGTGTGGTTACATTGGGCTCATCTGCATAATCCAAAATAAACTGTTATGTTAAAGTGAGTTAATTAGCAATCTTAATTCTATTTGCGAAGTCCCTTCGCAGCAGTACCCAGATTATGTGTGAATGAATAACCAGGTGACAAGAACCTTGGAGGGAACATCTTTAGAATTCTGTCTACCATAGATAGAGAAGGGTCTTCTGAATACATTGTTCAATGATAAAAGCAAGGCACAAAAGAATACTATGCTGTTATTACATAACATGCTATGTTTTATGTGAGAAAGTTTATACTGGAGAAAGAAACGCTAGAAAGTTAAATAACAAACAAAAATTTACCACTAGAAGACAAAGGTTGTGGATTGGAGTTAGACTTCTCAGTATATATAATTTTTAAAAAGTTTGAATGGTAAAAATATATCTATTAGAAAAAACACTGTAAAAATAAATTATATCAGTGCAGGCTAAGGAATTCTTCTTTTATTCAATAGTTTTACTCTCATTTAGTTTGATGCTCTATCACAAATTTGTCCAGTGGGACTTCCTTTGAGCTAAATAAATAAAAAGGGAATGCTTGTCTTTAGAGCAAAAATTCAACTAATAAATGCAGAATGAATGATGGAATTTTAAAAAAATCACTATTGAGCAACCATCACAGCAATTGATTCGGTCAAGAATCATCAAGGAATAACAACACTAGTAAGAGTTTGAGGAATAAAAGGATATTTATTTACATGGTCTGAAGTATATCCCCAGAAGGTAATAATTATAAGGGAAAATAGTAACTTTGCTGAGTTTTGTGAAATATCCTTGCAGATATCAACCACAATAGGACAAAGAGACATCATATATCTCCTGATATCACACAATGAAAAATCATGGCATTTCTTCTGTGGTGTTTCATGCCAAAAATATGTAACCTGAATCTAATCATGAGGAAATGTAAGACAAACTCAAATGGAAAAACATGTTATAAAATAACTGACCTATGTTCTTCAACAATGCCAATGTCATGGAAACTAAAAAGGCTAAGGAACTGTTCTTGATTAAAAGAGATTAAAAAGGCATAACAAGTGTAACAAATTTCTTGTTATAAAGGAATGATACTGGGGCAAATGGTGGAATCTAAATAAATCTGGGTTAAGTGATACAGTTTATTTGTACTTCTCTTGCAACTTTTCTGTAACGCTGCAATTATATTTTGTCAAACAAAAAGAAGGGGAGAGGAGGGAAGGGAAGGAAGGTAAAACCAAAATGAAACAAAAAGAACTGATCCAGGACAGTGAGACGATTATGGCTGCTAGAACAAGTTGGTAGAGAGTAGTGAAAAATAAGGCTGGACAGCAGTGTAGCGGGGACCATGAAAGCCTTTCAAGTCATTCAACATTTACTCATTCAACTAAACATTTATAAATGCTTACTATGTGTCAGGAACTGGCATGAACCAGTTGTTGTGGAAAAGAATGCTAACTGCCTACTAACATCCATTCTTTCTTTCTTCCTTAAATACAGATTTCCCAAGCCCTATCTGGGCACGTGATAATCTATCTAAACTTTACTTCTCAGCTTCTTTTGCATCTATAAATGGCTGCATAAGTAGCTCTGAATAATGAAATGTGAACATAGGTGATGAGTGACACTTTCAAGTGATGCCTAACATTATGGGCTCTCTTGTCCTTTTTACTGTCCTGCAAGCTAAGATGGTTATCAAGAAATTGAGACCTGGAGCAGTGATTTTGAAAGTATGTATTATTTTCACGGTAAAAGTGGTAAAAAAAAAAAAAAAAAAAAAAAGGTGGTAAAAGTTCCAAAGCACAGTGGAAGCACAAAGAAAGGAGCAATTAAATGGTTCCATAGGAAAAAAGGTTTCATAGAGGAGGGAATGCTTGAGATGAACACAAAGAACTGAGCAAACACATTAAAAAAAAAATGATATATTTAGGGAATAGTAATTGTTTCTATTTAAGCTGGAATATGCAAAATATTTAAGCTGGAAAATATGCAAAAATAGCTTTTAAGACTTTTTAGAGTCATGTGTATATAGGGGCATACATGTACATATATATTTGATAAAATAAAAGTAATTTAAGAGATTTGGTACTGATATAAGAATAAACACATTAATGAATAAAAAGAGAGACTAAAAAATTAAATCCAAATACATTAAGATGTGAGTATACAGTTGTCTCTCAGAAGCTGTGGGGAATTAGTTCCAGCAACCCCCTGCAGATACCAAACTGTAGATGCTGAAGTCCCTTATATAAAATGGCACAGTATTTGCATATTATTTAGACATATCTGCACATCCTTCCATATACTTTATATCTAGATTACTTACAATGCCTAATACAATGCCTATACATCATTTCATTTCTGTGGATTCACTCAATGGACAGCAAATTCAAGTTTGCTTTTTGGAACTTTGTGGAATTTCTTTTTCTAAGTATTTTGGATTCATTGTTGGTTGAACCCATGGATGTGCTGGACCAACTGTACTATAAAAATGGCATTTCAAACCAGTGAAAAAGAAATATATCATTAAACAGTGGGCAGACAACTGATATACTATTATACTATTAAAGAAAAAAAGCATGATCCCTTGGTGCCTTGGTCCATAACTCGATCTTGAGACTAAAATAAATTCAAGAATTATTAAATATTTTTGTAGGAAAAAAATGAAATAATAAACATACTAGGCCAGGTGTGGTGGCTCATGCCTGTAATCCCAGCACTATGGGAGGCTGGGGCACAAGAATCACGTGAGCCCAGGAATTTGAGACCAGACTGGGCAACATGGTGAGACCCTATCTCTACAAAAAATGAAAAAACATTTAGCGAGGCATGATAGATGTGTGTGTGGTCCCAGCCACCCAGGAGGCTAAGACGGGAGGACTGCTTGAGCCCAAGAGGTTGAGGCTGCAGTGAGATGTCATCACGCTGCTGCACTTCAGGTTGGGCAACAGAGTGAGACCTAGTTTTAAAAAAAGAAAAAAAGAAAGAAAGAAAATGTACTGGAAAAAAGGTATAAATTGACAGGTATGGTGGCTCACACCACCCAGTACTTTGGGAGGTTGAGGTAGGTGGACTGCTTGAGTCCAGGAGTTTGAGACCAGCCTGGGCACCATGGTGAAACCCCATCTCTACAAAAAAATACAATAAAGTTAGCTAGGCATGGTGGTGCACTACTCGGGACACTGAGGTGGGAGGGTCACTTGAGCCTGGCTAGGTTGTGAGGCTTCAGTGAGCCGTCATCGTACCACTGCACTCCAGCTTAGGTAACAAGAGTGAGATCCTGTCTCAAAAAGAAGAAAGAAACAAGAAAGGTATGGAAAAAAGTAAAAAAATAAAAAAATAAAAAAAATTAAAAAAAAAATTATGTAAATAATTTATCTAAGGACAAAAAACCCCAGTAGCATAAAAAATTTAAAGAAATTAAAATGAGTAATAAATAAATCTACTATAAACAAAGTAACAACATAATTCCACTCAGAATATCCTGAAAACAGAGGAGAAATATATGTGTAATATGTATGTGTATAAAATATATATAATCATTTATATATAAATGATTTTATAGGGACACTGTATTTCTGGAATACCACCAAAAAACTGGTAACAGTATCTCTGGGAAGAAGGGCTAGGGAAGAGGTCTACTTTATAATGTATATAATTTTAAATTATGTTTATGTGACTTTCTCAATTGAAAAAACTTTAGTTCAAAATTTTAAAAAATTATGCTGATAAAACAGAACTAGACCAAGAATGTCATTAATCCTGATTGACACCATCGCCTGTATCAAACCATACTGGCACAAGAAGATTGGCAGTCATTTTTTTTCTTAAGAAATTAAGTAAATAATCAAGTAACTTAAAAAAAACCAAGGGGGGAAGGAAAAAAAATACCTCAACTCACGGTTCATCCATCCTAGTTTCATAATATGGCCTTATTCTATGTTATCTCAAATATTCCCATATAATAACATCTTCTCTCACAGATACTCCTCTAATTATAAATCACACAAACATTATTTTCCTCTACTAAACTCTAACATTAAAGTTGTTTTCATTAAAATTTTCATTAAAAATTATTCTGTAGGCAGAAGAGAGGACTTGAAATGTTCCCAACACACAGAAATGATGCTCAAGGTGATATGTTCCCCAAATACCCTGACTTGATCATTATACATTTTATTCATGTAACAAATACTCACATGTACCCCTAAAATATGTAAAATATGTCAATTTAAAAATTACTTCATTCTGAATGGATATAATATAAACCCCTGACCAAAAGGAACACAAAGCAAAATAAGTATTTTTCCTATCTCTGTATCCAATCTGTCTAGTTCCTCTTCATAGAAATAATCACTGCTATCAGTATACTCCCAGATATTTTATATGTGTGTATATGTCTGTGTGTGACTGCAGATACTAAAATTTTTAAAAACATATGCAAATAGCAGCTTTCTATACAGTGTTTAGCTCTTGTACTTTTTTTCTCTTTCTTTTTTTGAGACAGAGTCTCACTCTGTCACCCAGGCTGAAGTGCAGTGGCACAATCTCGGCTCACTGCAACCTCTGCCTCCCGGGTTTAAGTGATTCTCCTGTCTCAGCCTCCCGAGTAGCTGGGATTACAGGCACCCACTACCACACCTGGCTAATTTTTTTTTGTATTTTTAGTAGAGATGGGGTTTCACCATGTTGGCCAGGCTGGTCTCGAACTCCTGACCTCAGGTGATTCACCTGCCTCAGCCTCCCAAAGTGCTGGGATTACAAGCTTGAGCTACCGCGCCTGGCCAGCTATCATTGATAACAAGTCCAGTCACATCTAATCATTCTAAATTTTTATAAAGGTATAAATATGATTATTGCCTAGGTACCTGATAAACTTATTTCATAAATATATCCACATAAATATTGTATGATATACCTCAGACAACTGATCTGAAAATTACTTTTTTAATTTAAAAAACAGATTATAACTTACCAAATCCGTTTCTTTTTTCCTTCTTTTCTTTCTTTCTGTTTTTGGCACCTGACAGGGGGACAGGAGAAATACAGAAATTGTGATAACAAAGACTAACATACTTTCTTACTTCATTGCAAATGTTGAGGTACTTGCTCAACAGGTAACACAATAGTTATTTCTTTATTCTCCAAGAGGTACTGTGCAGTGCTAATAAGCAAATGTGAGAAAAAATTTAAAATCTGATAAAACATAATTGCCAATAACAGCAACAGAACGGAAGGACACTTTAGAGATTATTCTTTTTTAAACCTCAGTTCTGCCCAGAAGCCACCACCCATATTAATTTAAATGATTATTTTATTTTATAAATAAATTATTTTATTATTTAATCATTAATTAATTGATCATTAATTGATTTTTTTTTTTTCAGACGGAGTCTTGCTCTGTCGCCCAGGTTGGAGTGCAATGGTGCAGTCTAGGCTCTCTGCTTCCCAGATTCAGGTGATTCTCCTGCCTCAGCCTCCCGAGTAGCTGGGATTACAGGCACACACTACCACACCTGGCTATTTTTATATTTTTTGTAGAGACAGGGTTTCACCATGTTGGCCCGGCTGGTCTCAAACCCCTGACCTCGTGACCCACCTGCTCGGCCTCCCAAAGTGCTGGGATTACAAGCTTGAGCCACCACGCCCAGCTGATTTTTTTCTTTTCGTTTTTTTTTTTTTGAGACGGAGTCTCACTCTGTTGCCCAGGCTGGAGGGCAGTGGTGCAATCTTGGCTCACCACAACCTCTGCCTCCCGAGTTCAAGCAATTCTCCTGCCTCAGTCTCCCGAGTAGCTGGGACTACAGGTGCGCACCACCACACCTGGCTAATTTTTGTATTTTTAGTAGAGACAGGGTTTCACTATGTTGGCCAGTCTGATCTTGAACTCCTAACCTTGTGATCCCCCCGCCTCAGCCTCCCAAAATGCTGGGATTACAGGCGTGAGCCACTGCGCTCAGCCGATTGTTTTGAAGATTTTACTTCCCATATTTTAGCTCTAGAAAACTACCATGGAGCTAAATATATATACAAAAAGGTAACCTTTGGGACATGGAAAAACTCTTTTACATATGACATTTCCTGATAACCATAGTACAGAACAATCTTTTTTTTTTTTTTTTCCTGAGACAGAGTCTCGCCTTGTCACCCAGGCTGAAGTCCAGTGACACGATCGTGGCTCACTGCAACCTCCACCTCCCGGGTTCAAGCGACTCTTCTGCCTCAGCCTCCCGAGTAGCCGGAACCACAGGTGTCTGCCACCACGCTTGGCTAATTTTTGTAGTTTTCAGTAGAGACAGGGTTTTACCTTGTTGGCCAGGCTGATCTTGAACTCCCGACCTCGTGATCCACCCGTCTAGGCCTCCCAAAGCGCTGGGATTACAGGCGTGAGCCACTGTGCCCAGCCAGTACAGAACAATCTAAACCCAACCTTTTAACTTAAAAACAAAGGCAGTACAAGCCTAGTAAGACTCTTCTTCAGTATAAAATAAATACCTTAACCTAGATCTGGAACTGAAGAACTTTCCAGAACTTTTTTATATCTGACAACTTCAAAAATGGGATTGAAGAGGTTTTGGAAATCTAAATACATATAAGGTAGAATAACTAAAAATAAAATGGAATATAATACAAAATATTGATGGTATTCTTGATGCGAACAGGTATCTAATTATTTCATCTGGGGTACTGAAAAGAAACACATTGATAACTTTGTCTAAGCCTGATGTCTCTTCTGTAATATGGATTTTATAAAAATTATTTAATAAAGCTGAAGCAAGAATTAAATAAAATATACAACACCGAGTACAATTCTCAGGCTATAATAGGCACTCAAAATAAAAAGGTTATTATTATTATATAGACTTCCCAAAACACATATTTTCCTAAAACTTAATTCAAGAATAAATATAATTTGTAGGTTTTTATAAAGAGGCCACTGGGTAATACAATGAATCACATCTTTAACTATAATTTTTCAAAAGTAAATTCAGATACTGATCTTTTTTTTTTTTTTTTTTGTGAGACAGAGTCTCGCTTTGCCACCCAGGGTGGAGTGCAGTGGCGTGACCTTGGCTAACTACAACCTCTGCCTCCTGGGTTCAAGTGATTCTCCTGCTTCAGCCTCCTGAGTAGCTGAAATTACAGGCGCCTGCCATCATGCCCAGCTAATTTTTGTGTATTTACTAGAGACGGGTTTTTGCCATGTTGGCCAGGCTGGTCTTGAGCTCCTAACTTCAAGTTATCTGCCCACCAAGGCCTCCCAAAGTGCTAGGATTACAGGCACGAGCCAGTGCCCCACCCCGATCCCTATTAAAGCTAAGAGTATAATCTTGAGGGCAGAACACTCTATTTTAACTCAGTGAACAATGTATTGATTGCAGATGGTTTAGAAAATATGGTCTGATAAATTGTAAGACAGAATTAAGTTTGGAGGATCTAAAGTGGCGCTAAGCTGACATGTTCCCTGTAATGTTTTTCTCAAATACAAGATATCCCAAATGCTCTTAAAAAGAACTCATAATTAAATCCTTTTAGTGATCAAAATATATCACATTTACCTTTGTAGCTGTGTAATCTGAAGTCTTGAATTCATTCATATATTCATCTAAAAACACTTTAAAAGTGTTGACCCAAACTCTCACTGGAGATTCACCCAGTGAATCCCGCTGCTCCAGCCTCATTGTCTTTTCCAGAATCTGTTCAAATAGTGCATAGAGGTCTTTATACCGTATCCTTTTCCCATCATCCATCTATAAGCAATAAGAAAAGAAACGTATGGTTTTATAAAGAAACTCTTTAAATATAGAGGAACGGTTACACTTGTAATGGGGTAATATTTAGAATAAAGATGAGGATCCTGATACAATTTCTAATGAGCATGCCCATGAGATCCTGTGGCATTTGTAAACTCCCATTCTAGTATGGGATGAATGCAGAATAAAACATGTTAAATTTTAGTAAAAAACCGAACTGTAATAATTTGAGGAAGTCTCGAGAATTTCTCTTCTAAATGTGACTTTTTAATTTTATGTAGCTATAAAGCTTATTTGCATCCCTCTTCATTACTTACCTCCCCAGAAATGAACCTTGTTTAGATGGTTCTACTCTAAAATTGAAAGAATGAATACTTGAATTGTTGCCTAAGGATATATTAAGTAACCAATTTATTTTTCCAAAGAAGAGTGACATGCCCAGAGTAACATCATATTATTTGCAAGAAACTGAAATAGAATTTCTTTTATTTAAATAAGATCCGGAATTTTTTTTTTTTTTTTTTTTGGAGACAGAGTCTTGCTCTGTCACCCAGGTTGGAGTCCAGTGGCATGATCTTGGCTCACTGTAACCTCCACCTCAAGCCATTGAATAGATTCAATCCATTCTCCTGCCTCAGCCTCCCCAGTAGCTGGGATTACAGGTGTACACCACCATACCCAGCTAATTTTTGTATTTTCAGTAGAGACGGGGTTTCACCATATTGCCCAGGCTGGTCTCGAACTCCTGACCTCATGATCCACCCGCCTCAGCCACCCAAAGTGCTGGGATTACAGGCTTGAGCCACTGTGCCCAGCCAAGTAGAGTATAAATTTAGAAGTTTTCCTGATTTTTCTCTTCACAGTGAATTAATATATTGAACAATGAAAAGCCAATAAAATATGAATTATTTTACAGAATATGATAATTCGTAAACACGAATGCTTCTCTAGACCAAAGCATTAATTGCATACACCAAAAATAAATGTTCTAAAACATGACCAATATCATGTGAAAGTATAAGGTAAATCTCAAAGTGATATAAACTGATAAGTAGAAATCAGTGACCATAAACTAACTGCCCTAATTCCATTAAAAGAAAACATATAATGCATTCCTCACACAGGAAAATTAGACATTATAGCCTAGCAATACAGCTAAAAGGATTATGAAAAGTTACAGGGAAAAACAGAATCATACCCAGGACATCTGAAGTCAGTACCTTAAAAGACGAAAAAAAAACAGCTGTAAGGTGGGAAAAAGCTACTCAAGGAAATTCAAGCAAGCTTTTAATCTGAAACCATTCAGTACGTTTTTCCTTGTCTATCCCTAAAACAAAAACAAGGAACTGGAGAAACTCTTGTGAATCATGGCTTTTGTATTATCTTCTACAGCACTGTCAAATTTTTCATATGCTGAACTACTAAATATCTCCTAACATAGCCCAACTCACCGCCAATGCAGATGAATAAAAGCTGAAGATATTCTGCCGAAATTCCTTCAGGGCTTTTTTAAATACAACATCCACTAGTGTATCCTTCTTGCTGTCTTCATTATCTAGGTCATTCATCTGGGAACCACAAAACCAGTTTTGGTACACAATCAACTAATTGAAAAGAAGTAAATACAACAGTAGCCATGTATTGTCTCTTCCACAATGACTGTCCTCAAAGTGCAAGTCACAGGCTATTATAGGACTCAGGTAAAAGTATGACTAGATAGTCAAACTATAATTACTACTCCATGATTTCTAAGGTCCCTTCTAACATTGTATGATGCTACAGTTCTGTTACAAGAAAACTCTCACGTGCAACAAGTTGCACCTTCCCATATGAACTGGGACAATTTTAGTAAAATTAAAGTCACTACTAAAGCCTACAACGTTAAATCCTGTCTACCCAGTCTGACTAATGCATATCCTATCATTTGTAGCTTTCTGGTAAAGAACAGACCATCTAAAGCATGGAAGCCTATGCAATTTTGATATCTAGAGGATATATCCTGATATACACAAGTATTTCATAGACAGAGCTGCTAAGGGGCCTAACTTGGCAAATAAAGTGTACCTTTTTCAGAAGAAATTCATCCATGCTTTTTAAATCACTGACACTTGCTATGATCTGGACAGAGTCATTTTGCCAATGCATAGAATCCAAAGCCACGTTGCTAATCTTCACACTTCGCTTGCGCTTAGCCTTTGGAGAAGGTTCTTTGTTCTCTTTGAACTCCTTCCGGCAACTGCCAGACAGTTCTGGGCTCAAAGGAGGTGTTGGGTGATATTGAGCTAATTCTACAATTCAAGATGGAAGACCCGAAAGGACACATTTAGTAAATATATTGATAATCTTCACATCCTTCTTTTTAAGGTTCCTTTAGTAAGTCACTGAAGGAAACATGCAAATATATGAAAAGCAAAGTAACATTAATGTTTGAAGTCAGGCAGCTACGCAATAAATCCAGATGGCACATTTGTACAGAAAATGTATTTAAAAATTACCATTTTTCGAAGGGAAATGATATCCTATCTCCCAAGAAGCTGAGGTCTGATATTAAAAACCTGGATAGAAATGCTTTGCAGGACACCAAGTTAGATCCCAAAGACCTCAGTCCCAAAGAAAAGAAGAGAATATACAACCATACTAGCATATTAAATACTCACTGTTAACAAAGTCATAGCTTTGCTACACGTTTGAAACAACATGCGTAGCTATATACAAGTCCAACAAACTAGTGGAGTTTGATAATTATTATTATTTCTTTACTACAGTCTAAAGTCCTGAATACTTCCGTGATAACATTTGGTGATTGCTGGCAACCTGTTAGGGAGTCAAATAACTCAACTGGCTTACTTCTGCTTGGGTCTCTTCAGCATTTAGGATTTTCTTAAACATCCCCCACATAACTGTCAATTTATTTTCTCTACAATTTTTCTCTGCAAATGTTTACAACAGAGAAATTAGATTCCATGTAGCCCATTACAATTTAGAACTAGACCAGATTGGCCAAAGTCCTATCTGGAGCTTGATGAGAATGTTGGCCTCCTCTCATTTCACATGCTTGTCTTCCCAACGTGTATGCTCTTTACCTTCTGTCCAATGGTATATCCTGATTCCATCTAAACTAACTTTGACAATAAAGGAAAAAAGTAGCCTCCTACATGCTAAATACCACCTCAGGCAGGAATTGAGACAAACCCAATCTCAACTATGACATGAGAGTAAAGAATATAAAGATATAGGATATAACTATATTCAAACATATATCAACTGATTTTAATTCTGTTATACAGCTTAGATATATTAAGTATCTAATTATTTTATTTAGCAAAGTCAGTATCTTTCTTATTAATAAAATAAACATTTATTAAAGAAATTATCCATAATCCCATATTAGCATTAAAAACAAGGGCTACCTTAATACATTTTTTCCAAATACAAATAAAAAGCTATAATCCTAACTTTTATACATGTGTCATTATGAAGCAAACACACAACAAAGTTTGCTTATAATATGAATTTTCAATTAGAGTTTATACTTCTTTCTCAAGAATGAGCAGCAAAGAATATATAATTGTGGGAAATAAAAAACTTCGAATGATGACTGTCAACCAGATGAAATTGATCACCTTAGTCACTCAATAGCAGGGAATTCCCAGTTTCCCAAACCTGTAGTATTCATTTAACTTGTTATTGGTTTTATCCACATCCATTTGTCAACTGGTAGAAGCAAAGCCGTAAGATACAAAAACAGGGGTCTAACTACCTTTCCACCATTTTTTCCTCTGGCATAGAGAGCTCAAGCCCATCCATCCCTCTGGGAAGCTTGATGATTTTTCCTCCTTGTTTCTCTATTTTATCCCAGATATGGGAAGATTTTGGTTTCTTATTTTAACTGGGTCTGTTCTATCCTGCCTTAGACTTTCTTCCGAGGACCTCTTTCTATTTTAGTCAATGATACCCACCTTGGATGTATATCCCTGTTGAAGATAGTTGGTATCTTTACATAGTAGCTAACAACTCTCAGGCATACCTGAGAAAAGGCTTGAGAAGAAGGGGTAATCTTCTAACATTAGGATAACATGGAGAATAAGTAATTTTCCCATTTAGAAAGGTCAGTTTTCTGAAAGATGAACTAACTGTTGAGTACTTCTCAAATGTGTTATGCTGCATGCCCAGAAAGTTAAAATAAGAGCTATGGGACTGGGCATGGTGGCTGATGGCTGTAATCCCAGCACTCTGAGAGGCTGAGGTGGGAGGACAGATTGAGCCCAGAAGTTAGAGATTACAGTGAGCTATGATCACACCACTCCAGCCTAAGCAACACAGTGAGACCTTGTCTCTAAAATTGAAAAATAAGAACTATTATAAAGTGCCAGGCATCTGCTAGATACTGAAATATAGCAAGTACTTAATATACAACACAGTGGTTAAGACTGTGGACTCTGGAGCAGGACTGCCTGGATTCAACTCTTAGCTCTTCCAGTTACCATCTGTACATTCATAAATAACTTTTCTTTTTTATTTATTTATTTATTTGAGACAGGGTCTCACTCTGTCTCCCAGGCTGAAGTGCAGTGGTGTGGTCACAGCTCACTGTAGCCTCAACTTCCCAGACTCAAGTGATCCTCCTACCTCAGCCTCCCAAGTAGCTGGGACTACAGGCACACGCCTCCATGCCTGGCTAAATTTTATATTTTTTGTAGAGACGGGGTTTCACTATGTGCTCAGGCTGGTGTTGAATTCCTGGACTCATGTGATCTGCCCACCTCAGTCTCCCAAAGTGCTGGGATTACAGGTGTGAACCATTGTGCCTGGCCTAATAAAAAAACTTCCTGTGCCTGAGTTTTCTCATCCATAAATTGGTAATAATAAGTATACCAACTCTCAAAAAACTGTTGTGAGGAGCAACTGACTTAATAACCATAACATGCTTACTACAGTGCCTTGCATGCAATAAGCACTCAAATATTAGCTGCTATTAGCTATAACTAGTAATACATAGGTTAAATGAATGAATAATGGCTACATTTTTACAGTTTAGAAAACTAAGACTAACCTATGATACACAGTCATTTTTGAGGTGGTTGCTGCTTCATTGTTTTGTGACACATTTTTTGGGAACTTCTATTGTAGGAAAAATGTAACTTTATTTTTTAGTTAAGGAAGGATTTAACAATGCTGGTCCTATCTCATTAGAACATCCAGCCAACAGAATTGACATTATGAATACTACAGGAATAGCAAACTTTTGGAAAGAGTGAACAGAAATTATGAACATAAGCTCCACTCTTTCGTCACTTTTACCATCTGGAAACTGATGAGCTGGAATCACATCTGCGCCTGTGAAGACTGGCGAAACCTCTGACTGGGTAGTAGGCTTCACTCTAGTCGTCTTCTTCTCCCCTTGTTTCCCTTTGGCCCAGAATCTCATCTTAGCTCTCTGAGGTCTGTTTAAAGAAATAAAGGTAAAAATGGAAATTAGAATATCTCAGTGGTAATATTTGTATATATCACTTTAAGCTTTACAAACCTTCTATGTATATTAGCTCATTTAAGCTTCACATTTAAATTAAGTATATTTATCTTTACTTTTGCATTTAAACTTCACCTGGAAGATGAAAAATTATTTAACTTCTCTGGGTTTTGTTATTTCTATATTCAGATGAGGAAACATCTTGAATATAGAAATAACAAAACCCAGAGAAGTTAAATAATTTTTCTAAAATAAAACAGCCACAAAGCAGTGGAGCTAGAATTCTAACTCAAGTTTTCTAATTCCCAAACTGGTTTCTTTTCATTCTTGTCCCCCATCCAGCTTGGATTCAGTATATACACAATTTAACAACAAAGAAAATACTTTTTAAAGAAATCACTAATAATCCTACCACTCTAAAAAACATGAGTTTACCTTTTTTTGTCATTTCCTTCCAGTCTTCATCCATAAGTATGGCAAGTTTTACATCACTGTTATGATGCACACAGAATTTTAAATCTTTCCACTCACCAGTACATAATAAAAGCTTTAATGTCACTTTTATATTCATGAGTTATTAGTATTATTAATAACAGTCACTTATTTGAACTTGTATCATGCTCCAGGCACAGTGCTTACAAAATTTAATTATAATATCAATTTTTCTTTTTTCTTTTTTCTTAAAGACCAGGTGATAGTAACAACTTTGCTTTTAACAAACTAGTATAAATATGATACAGATGAAAAACTGGAGACTTAAATATTAGGTAACTTTCCGAAAGTTTCACAGTGAGTGAAAAATTCAGAACCACGTCTATTATATTGTATTGCCTCTTCTTAGTGCTTATATATGCTTTCATAATATACATCAAAGAAGTACCTTGCAATAACAATGGCATGTAGTTACTGACCTCATAGTTGGAGGTTTATTTGTATATTCATTTATCTATTTATTTGTCTGTTCATTCAATTAAAAATTTTTGAGTATGTACTAGGTGACAAGCACTATGCCTTACATATGATATTTCTAATTTTCACAACTACTGTGATAAACAGGTATTATTATCCTTACTTTACACATGAGCAAACTAAGGCTTAGAGGTCCGATGGAGATGGAAGTTAAAATCAAGTCTATCTGGTTTTGAAGCCCATGCTCTTTCTTTCTTCCTTCTTCTTTTCCTTTTTTTATTTTTTTTTAAAAAAGCTTATTACTAAACTCATACATTTATACATTAAAAAGAGAAATTGTTCTACATGACTTACTAAAAACAACAGTATCTCTCCGCCATGCTCACCCCATTTTCTGCTCCCTAGAGGCAACACTTTTGAATTGCTTTAACTAATTCTTCTGATATTTAACGTGCTTCTGTAACTATCATACTCATGGCCACAGATAATGATTAGGCATGTTCCACCATTCCAGTCCTAACCCCACCACAAACATGTGCTCCCGAAAGAATTATACTGTAATTTTAGTTAGATCAATATTCAGTATTTACTTTTAATAATACTCAGTATTTATTTTTATTATGTAAATAATATTCACAGTTAAGGGATGTAATTCCCTAAACGATCTACTTTATTCTAGAGGATTTTTAAAATTTGCTCATAAAAACTGATTTTTCATTTGCTCATTTTCTATATACAATTCACCTCCACGTGTTTCCCCATTTCTATCAACTCTCAATACATTCAAATATATTAGGTACTTTCTCAGTTTCATCTTATTGAAAAAAATCTCTCCCAGAGCCTTCTAACTTGCTCCAATTTGGAGTGGTTTCCCTCATTGCTTGCTGTGCAGTTGTTATTTGAAAAGCTACTTTCATCATAACAGAGATTCCTTTTGTCTCTTTTGTTTCATAACATGTCTTTTGGTATGGGTCTGTTTTCATTCATTACGTTGGGCACTCAGTGGCATCTTCGAATCTGGAAAATCATGTCCTTCAGTTCCGTAAAATTTGGCTGAATTATTTTATTAATAATTTATCCTCCATTTTCTTGGTTCTATCTTTCCAAAGTTCCTACCATTGCGTCACTGGATCCCCTGAATGGAGCTTCTAATATTCCCATCTCTTCCATTTCTTCATTTTTTGCTCAACGTTCTGAGATATGTCCTCAACTTTCCTTCTGATTCTTGAGTTGCTCATTTATGTTATCATATTTTTAATTTTCAAAAGCTCTTTTTATCATGAATGTTTCTCTTTCACGCACCATTTGGTTTCATGAATACAATTGTATTTGTTATGCAGAAGGTCTGTTGATAGTTATAGTTGTCTATCTTGAAGTGTTCTATTCCCTGCATAGTTGATTTCTTCCAAGTTGTATTTTATCTGTTAGTTTTGGTTTCAATATAAGGTATTTCCTCAAATGTATGGTGATCAGTGGTATGTGATTAATATTTAAAGTAGGGTTAAAAAAAAAAAAAAAGGCTGCTTGGAAGCTCTAATGTGCCTTGGTGGGGCTACTAAAGTATGGTCTTCCTTATAGGGTTATCTGGTTGGTTGGCTTTGCAGGGAGAGCTCCTGATAGTAAACTCTTTGAACCATTTGCTCAGAGGGTATGGGAAATGAAGAAGGCTGGGAAATCTTAACATTCTGTATGTAAACAGTCATTAAATCCCTATGTTCCAAATATGTGCCCCAACCCTCAATTTTACCTAGTAAACTCTAGATCCAGAGATACTCTGTTTTATACTTTCCAGATAATAAATTTCTTGTTCTGCTATAATTAGGGAAGGTCAACCAGTTAGATGTATCTTTCTCAGCTTTACTCAGCTGGATTAGGATTTGGCTTTCTCGTATGTATTAACATATTTAAAATTTAAAGTCCATTTATTTTTTGGATTCCATAGTTTTATTGCAGTTGTCTTCACTTCTGAGTTTTTTTGAAGGGGAGAACAGTCCTTTGTAGATTTTGTCATTTTAGTAATTGTGGGGGAGGATGTGGAAATTAAATATACATAATCTATTATTTCCAGATGTATGTTCTTCTACTGTGTTATATCTTATTTCTCAGTATTTGATTTCCAGTATTATCTGCTCTGGATTTGGGTTACCTTAAATTATACCTCTACAGTCAGTGAAAAAGTGGTCTTTAATATGGTTATGAACCAGCAAAATTTCAACATAATCTTGTAAGTTTTCAGTGAGGCCCAAATGCTTATACAACATAATGAGGGACAAAGATATTTATTTGAAAAATAAAAATTCCATAAGCTCTCTTAAAGAGAAAAGAATTATCTCCTGAAAGTTCTTTTCGGATCCATTTCTAAAATACTTACCTCAGAACAGAATCCAAGTCCAAAGCTTGCATCTATTTAGTCTCATCTAAGTAACACTAAATCTTATTTAGTCTCAGCCTCTTTTACAACAAAATACCATAAGTCATATAACGATTTGGAGACTTTCCCCAAATCATACTGCTAAGTATAGAGGGAGATAAAGCTCATTATATTGAAAGGAACCAGTATGTGCCACCCCAAAGTATTCCTCTCTGAGATAAATATTTTTAAGCTAAGGGCAATTAAGAAGTAGATGCAGAAAAGCTCTCTACCCTACTGTTCCCCTAAAAGCAGGATATAAATTTGTAAAGGTGTTCTTTCTTCCCTCTCTACCAACAAGGATAGAAGTTAATCACTGGAGACAGTGTAGACCTTTATGAGCTAAAAATGACATCAGAGGAATCTACTAACTTTACTCCATTAGTTTCCCCATAAATTTACCATCCCACAGTTTTGTCACCTTTGGAAGCCTGAAACTGCTTATCTTTGTCTTGTCACTTCTCTAAAATTTATTGTTCATTGTTGAAGACAATATATAAGTCAGATTCCTAAACCACTGTTTTGAGTTACTTTTCCTCTGTATGATGTGCATGTACTATATGCACTAACTTGCGTATTTTTCTCTTGTTAATCTGTCTTTTGTTACAGGATTCTGTCCCAACCATGAACTTATGAGGGTTGAGGGAAATTTTTCTTCTCTTCAATACATATCTGAACTACTATGTGCCTATAAATAGTAGGTACTTACCATTTCTTGAAAAACTGGTAAATAAGCTTAATTTCAAAAGTGGCCTATCAATTCCGGTTTTTTAAAAAAGCTCAGTACTTAACTATAGTCAATTATCAAATAAAATTATATTACCCCATTAACTCTATGTATACTTTATACCTTATATCTGAATCTGAAGCCTTCTGTCTCACTGCCAACTTGGTAATCTCTCCTTGAGACATAGTCTTATGAAGCTTTGCTTGTTCATCAACTGATGAAAATCGCTGTGATGTCTGTAATAATTACATATGTGAAAGATTTAATGCCAAGTAAATATATGATAGCACTGTAATTAAAATTCAGGTTATAGAATTACTTGAGCTATTTAAAAGCACACAAAAACATTCATATTATTCAGAGATTCATTGAAATAATAGAGCCTACTGAAAACTCTATATAAAGTAATCTGAAATAAAGAGGACTTGGTCAATGAAATAAACAGGATCTACCAGTTCATATTTTCTGACAATTTAAAAAGGAATCTCAAGTGGAGAGGCAAGAAAGTGAAAACCATTTAAAGATATAGAGAAAAGATGCAGGATCTAATAAATCTAGAGTGCTAACTATTGTTTTTCAAATCTCCTTTTATTTATCCCAAAAGGTGGCTACTACTTTTATGGCTTAATTTGCTATTATAAATTCTTCATGTATCTAATCAATAATTTAAAAGAGATGGAATATACAATGATTTTTAAAGAGCCAAAAGACGAAAGAATAAAGGCTCATTACCATCATTAATGGTCTAAATTATAAACAACTTATAAGGCTATCAAACTGTGACCTGATTTTTAATCGGCAGTTCTTGTTCCATTTGTTTAAAATGTGTCCCTCTAAAGACAATCCTGTCCTGAGGAGAGAATTTCTTGTTATCCATTCAAGTCATTTCCTAATATTTCATTTTTCTGTAGTTATAATATTCTTTCTTTAGTCTTTCGGACTGCGTGACTATGGCCTTATTAACAGAAAGAGGAAATACCCTAAGTTGGCAAAGATGAAGTAATAGGGATCTAGTCTACCCTCTTACATGAAACCAACAAAAAACCCAGACAAAATAATATGAAACCGCAATGTTTAAAACAATGGACAGATATCCCTGACAGATGGGGAAAAAAGGAAGTATGTCCTACACTTGTCCCATCTTACTGCCTTGAGAGTTTCTAGGCCGTGATGCAGAGAGAGGGAAACCAGGTGAAACTTGACAGACTGAGTGGAACACAAGAAGCTGAAAGTCCAAAGTGAACATGATGACTAGAGAACAAAAGACAGAGTACTGGAGAGGAGTGAGAAGCACAAAGACAGAACTCTAGAGATCTATAGAAGGTCCACATTGAATATTCAGCTTGAGTACTAATCAACACTTTGTATGAGAAAACAACCCAAGACCAGGAAAAAGATCACTTCAAAGGATTAAAGGTAATTGAGCCCATCACTCACAAAAGGTCAGTAATAGTGTCTATGCCCAAGAGCCAGAGGACATAACTTTATGATTCCCAGGGCACTGGGCAAAGTGTACAGAGGATCTCACCTCAATAGTTAAGAATAATTAGCCTTAGACTGAGTACTGTTTGGGTCTAACAAATCTTTTTTTTTTTTTTTAAGAGATAGGGTCTTGCTCTGTTGCCCAGGCTGGAATGCAGTGATACGATCACAGCTCACCGCATCCTTGCACTCCTGGGCTCCAGTTATCCTCCTGCCTCGGCCTTCTGAGTAGCTGGGACTACAGGCACATGCCTCTGTGCTCAGCTCTTATTTTCCAGACCTCTATGCAAATAAATTGAAAAGTTAGATGAAATTGATAATTTTATAAGAAAAAAGTGTTCACCAAAATTGAGCCTGTTAGATAAAAGGTTTAAAAAAGACAAATTTCCCTAGAAGAAAAAAAGAAAAACTTACCAAGGAACTACACCACAAAAAAGTACCACTCCCAGGTGGTTTCATAGAAAAATTCTGCCAAATCTTCAAAGAACAGATAGTTCAATGCTATAAACTGGTCCTTTTTTTAGAGGAATAAAATACACATATGAATACTAAGTGTATAGTCAACAGTGTGGCTGCTGTCTTAAGGCTGACAATCCAAAACTCTTACGTAATAAACTTTGTTCAATAACAAGCAGTTTTCTACCATGCAAGACCGACCTCAAAATCACCTAGCCCAGGTCCTAAAACTTTATGAATATCCTCTCCTGACTTCTCCCTTGTGAGATATTACTGAGATACAGTCAAAGTGGGTTTTTTCTTACTGTAATAAGCTAATAAACAGCTTTGTTTGATCAACAGGTTTTTCTGGCAGTCCATGGAATAGACATCAGAGAGAAAGAAAATTCAACACAGATAAGGATTAGAGAGTATCTCAGAGAACAGCAGAAACAGGAACATAAGAAGTGACAGCAGTTTGGGGGGAATAATGAGAAATTTAATTTTACTATGCTGGAAGTAATAAAGATTGAAATTCTGGAGAGCTATTCAGGAGTCATATCCATAGAGATGATTGCTTTAAATTTAGGGGATGATAAAAGAAAACTGTATAGAGAAAAGTATAATGTTTCTAATACTAATCCTATAAATAAGGAATAGAAATGATTCTACTAACCCGCTTACCATCCAGAAAACGGAGAAACTAAAAAAATATATAAAAGTTACCTTAAAAAAAAATGTTTAGCAGAACATGCCATTCTTCTTGAATAAATGCCAACATGGTGTGTATAAAAATGGAGTGAGAGCAGCATACAGAAACTAAACAGTTATTCATATGGCAGAGTTTGAAGTAAGAGGTTAAAAAACACCAAAGTCACTAAGGAGGGAAACTACTACACTTGTTTCCCCTCCCAGAGCAGGTAACAACTGATTAATAATTTAAAAACTCAACAGGTAATGCTTATGAAATCTCTTTCAATTCATTTGTGAAAGTCTTTATCCCATTAGATTGAGTTACTTCACAATTAGAAAGGTCATACAGCAATTTCTTCCAAGATTTAATGACACACTTCAGAGTAATAAAATCAGTTTGTTCAGAAAAAAAAAATCCAGTTTTTAAAACTCCATGTACCTAGAAAATCAAATCCATTTAAAATCCAGAAAATATCTGGATTGTGAGATAGCAGTAGATTTTATTTAGACATAATACATCTTCATCTTCACAATATCAGATAATGTTAGAACATGGAATATTCTCAAGATAAATAAAAAGAGAAACACATTTAAAAATTGTTCCTACCCACCCCATCCCCAACCCCAGTAAGTATCTATCCGCATATTCTACAAAGCAAAGCTTCTTCATGCAGTGTCCACAAGAAACAAGCACCATCACCTGTTCCTAAAATAGCTCGTGACGAAAGAGAAGGAAAGGAGAAAGCTGGAGACATGACTAACACACTGTGCAGGGAAGTGCTCTACAACTACTGGCATGCAGTGACCGTCAAGCAGGTGAACAGAGGCTAGAACACTGAAAGGAGCTGAATGCTCCAAGCAGAAAGCCCAATTTCCTGGTTCATCTCAGTAAAAGTTCCCAGTGTAAAAAAAGTCTATCACCAAAAGGACTAAGGGTTGTTACAAAGGAAACTCTCAGGAACAAAACAGCAGTCATAAATGCCAAAGTTTTTCTGCAAACAATAAATCTATGTATACTAGACAAAGCAGGACTTCTCATTAAAATTAGTTTATTCCATTACATAATTTCGTATTTAACTGTGAATCAGATAACACAGTATATTTCCTTATTTATAACTCAAATACAGGGCACCTCTAAAATGCTGTTATTTTATTCTACACTGAAGATTTTGGCTCTAATTATATATATTAACAGATACACAGAATGTTTCCAATTTCTGTAATCCTACAGTTCGGCTCAGGTTAATGACTCATTTATCTAATCAGGGGACTTGTCCTGCATTCTTCTCTTTTTGTTGTTTTTGCCTTCATAAAACATCAGTTTTGTCACTTAAAAACTGGGTATACCTCCAACAAAAGAAAAAGGCAACGAGATTATTCTGGACAATAGGAGAAATTTCAATTAACTAAATCTTGGACAATTCAAACAGCTTAAAATAGTTCAAAGATAGAATATTTAATGAGTCAAAGATCATTCTAAAATTTTTCTCCAATAATTGACAGACACTAAAGAATATTAGAGAGCTCAGTTACAGATATGCATGGAAATAAAACGTTATCTCACTCCACTTCATCAGTGATGTTTTGGTTCATATTAGACACATGGTCCTTACATTATATATTTCTAGGACAATTCCAAAATGAAACTCTTTGCCTTAATATACCCATCAATACACTAATACTTGTCAAACCACATATACACCTGATTTGGGCTGAGAAGATGATATAGTTATATTCTTAGCTTAAAATAGTGCAGCTTTATTCAAACGCAACACCAATGTTATATTGTGTGATTAATGCAAATTCACATTATATATAGCCTTCTATTTGGCTGGGTTGGTCCAGGAAGACACTTTTTGCTCACTATATGTTTAAAAATTCATGTTTATTTCTTATCAGTGAAAAGTGAGGTGGAGGAAGCAAGTTTACAGGCAAAAAATGTAAAAGTGCATTGTAGCTAAAAGCTACTGGATTATTTCAGACCAAGGATCAGTAAACTAAACCAAGGATCAGTAAACGATGGACAACAGGTCAAATACAATCTACTGTCTGTTTTTGCAGTTTTATTACAAGACAGTCATGCCCATTTGTTTACTTAGTGTCTACGGCTGCTTTCACACTATAGTGGCTAAGTTAAGTTGTTAAGTTAGGTAGTTGCAATAGAGACTACATGCCCCACAAAGTCTAAAATATTTATTATCTGACCTTTTACAGAAAAAATGTAAGGACCACTGCTCTAGACCTTTTAAGATACAACATGGAAAATTTCTACATTAGTGCTAAGTCAAATAATCTTAATTTTGCCTAATTTATACCTTTTTAAAGTGCCATTTATTTGAGTTCTATTAAATTAAGGTTTAGCTTAGTTGCTGTGTTCACTGAGGTTTCCCATGTACAAACCGTTACATGGGAAGAAGCTGTGAAGGTTAGCTTTAGATTAGCAAAGACTATTTCCATCAGATTTGCTTGCTATTTTTCTTATATTGCTGTAAAATTACCATTTCGGAGTCACTGTGAGAGGCCTGATCCAGGCTGGGTGTAGGCCCTAGCTCACAATGAGAAGCTTGGTCAAGGGAGAGAAGGGGCTCAATAATGTCATCGTAATCATCTTCCTCTGTATCCCCCTCCCCATCGGCAAAAGTACCTCTAGTCAAGAAATCGGAGCGCGTCCGCGCCATTCGAGCTTTCTTTTTATGGGCCGGTCTGGCAACCTGCTTGACCAAATGATAAAACAAACAACACAACAATGTTTGGGTTTTTTTTTCTTTGTGAGATGATGCCAATGAAAGACATCAGAGGGCTCATGAATTTCTTGAAATATCCCTCCACCCCACCATGCCCTTTCCACTAGGAGAAGTGACAGGGATGACCAAAAGGAATTTGATACATTACTCTGAACGAAGGGCGAGAATGAAAGCTAAATCTACACTGTTCTACATAGCCAAAGAAGTCATCTTTCACTGCCATAATAAGTCAACAAAGTCACTTGCACAAATTGCCTTCTTTTTCTTAGCAACTGGGTTCTTAGGCACCATTCCCTGCCTGGAGTACACCTCCATAATTATAACAATCTCAGCTCATGGCTTCTTTCTCTAAAAACACTTGGGAGTAAATGGGTAGATGAGGTGCTCTACCTACAAGAATAACAATTTCCAAAATAATGTACATCTCTTTTGCATAGAAGATAGATAAACAAGACCCAATACTTACCTCTCTTTGGCCTGGCCCAGCTAACTTCACAGGTTTCCATGCTGGTTCATCTTCTTTACGGAGTTGAGGATTTTTACTGTTTAAGGCTTCTTTGCTGACACTTTAAATAAAACAATGAAATTACGTTTCAGTTCTTAGCAGATATCCCATGGCAGCCAGGTTAAAGACTTCCAGCAAATTCCATAAATATTTTCAGGTCTTAGTCAATTCCCAAGACACTAAGTCATATTTTTTCTGCTTAGCTAATTAGTAATAATAATCCTGAGCCTACACATATGACTGAATTACTAGAGGCCTTGTCCTGATGATCAGTGGGTATATTCCACTATGAATATGACATGTTTAAGAATACTAGTTGCAAAATAAAACTCAAGAAATAAAATAGATCTGATGATGAGGAAAGGAAAATACCAAATCCCTGAATCTTTAGAATACTAGTCTTACAAGGGGCCTTTCCATCTAATCATTATAAAATATCTGAAAAATAGCCATCCAGTGATGAGGATCTCATTATATTTTATACTGAGATAGTTCCTATTGGTTAGAAAACTCCTTCTGAAATCTCTCTTTGTAGCTTTCGTCCACTGTCTGAGTTTTAAAACTTGACGTTGAGGCCGGGCGCAGTGCCTCCCAGCAGTTTGGGAGGCCGAGGCAGGCGGACCACCCAATGTCAGGAGTTTGAGACCAGCCTGGTCAACATGGCAAAACTCCGTCTCTACTAAAAATACAAAAATTAGCTGGGTGTGGTGGCAGGTGCCTGTAATCCAGGTACTTGGGAGGCTGAGGCAGGAGAATCACTTGAACCCAGGAGGCAGAGGTTGCAGTGAGCCAAGATCGTGCCACTGCATACTCTAGCCTGGGTGACAAGAGTGAAACTCTGTCTGAAAAAACCCAAAAAACAAACAAAAGGCTTCATGTTGAATAGAATAAAATCAACACTGGCAGGATAAGAAGTTGTTATCAAACTTAAAGTATGCTCCAGACCATACAGGTATTACAGTGTTAGCTTATGAAAACTTAATTTTGATTGAATAACTGTATGATAAGACTATTTTATCATTAAATTCTGGGCAGAAATAGATGTCAGAATCTGATGAAAAAGTGTATATAACCTGCACCTTCATGGCCCCAATTACCTATATTAACTCAGTACCATAAGTCTCAACAACAACATATTGATAATCTCTCCTGAGTAGAACTGTAAGCTCCTTGAGAATCATATCTTACTTCCAAGCATAGTGCTGGCTAAAATTAGACACTAACTTATGATACTAGTTGGTAGATTAATTGTTCTTCCATTCAAAATCTTTCATTTAATTTTTATAAAAGAAAGTCTAGGAGACATAAGAAATTATCTTGCCCTTTGCCTCTATGCAATAAGCCCGAAACAAATACAAATAGATGCAATCTTTGCTAGCTAAAGTCTTCATAGAGATCTCCCTTTTTGTATGTAATATATGTAAGCCTAGCAATCCTAGCTTGTCCTAAAGGATTCTCTTCTGGCTATCAAAATCTCTCTTGCCACAGTTGAGCCTATTGGACCTTCATTTATCCTCCAAAGAGAAACAACGATTAATAGAATCTTCATAGTACTTGACCACTGCAATTAACCTTTTAACTCACAGCAATTTTTAGACTTCACTATGATTTCTTTTGTCCTCTCTCATTAAACAGTTAAAAACTACTGTGTACTCATCATGATCCACTACAGTACAAAAGGGACACTAACCTAGTATTACTTTCTAATCATAAAACCCAATGCCGATCCTTAATGATAAAATGCAAGTTCTAGTCCCAGCCATTTCTCTAAATATATGATCTTGAATAAGTCATTTCACCTCTATGGGCCCCAGTGGCCTTATCTATAACATGTGGGAACTAGACTACATAATTAAGAAGCACCAACATTTATGATTCTACAAAATGTTCATGTTTCTAGTATTACTTATACAATAGGACAAGATTTAAAGTATGAATTTTATCTGTAGAGTTTAATATAATCTAATATACAATAATTTTAAAGATAAGTAGACCATTAATAAAGCAATAAAGGAAATCAGCTCAAATAGACCTACAACTATATATCTTGGAAAAGTAAGATAAATAATTCACAAGGATGATTAATATTTTTTGGAATCTACAATTAAGTTTTCTACAAAACAAATTCATTGATCCCAACAGCTACTTTGTAAGTGTATACATCTATAATACAAACACACACATAAATGTCATAATTAACAGACATTAAAGAATATTAAAGAGCTCACTCACAGATATGCATGGAATAGCATGTATCACTAAACTTAGAATGACAGGGAATATGTTTTTAACACTCTCTTATGGGTGCATATGCTACACAGAGCCTTTGAACTTCTGGGAAATCTGTAGGTTAATGGGTGGGAATAATACTTAAAGTTGTCACTAAGCTCAACTGCACTTTATAATACTATAGAAACTCTTGGTGGAAAAATAAATTATTGATCATCTCTTGCCCACATTTACAAAGGATTTCTCTAAAATCCATATGAAATTTTAAAGGGTGGAACATTTAAATGTTCGGGTTATACATAAAAGGAGAGAAAAGGTTATTTTCATTGTTAATGTAAAATTTATTTTCTTAGCCCAAAGATACAGCCCTCCTTTCATTTCAATGATGACATTCTCCCACAAGAACCAAAAGAATCTACCAAATACAAAGACAATACAAGTATCTTCAATTTTGTTAAATTTGTTTTTATGTACCACTTAAAAATGCTTTTCTCATGACTACCACTAGTTTAAAAAAGTATAAAGAAATTCTACTCAGGGCTGGGCATGGTGGCTCACACCTGTAATCCCAGCAATTTGGGGGGCAGAGGCGGGTGGATAACCTGAGGTCAGGAGTTTGAAACCAGCCTGACAATAGGGTGAAACCGTCTCTACTAAAAATACAAAAATTAGCCAGGCATGGTGGCGTGCACCTGTAGTCCCAGCTACTCAGGAAGCTGAGACAGAAGAACTGCTTGAACCCAGGAGGCAGAGGTTGCAGTTAGCTGAGATCACACCACTGCACTCCAGCCTGGGTGACAGAGTGAGACTCCATCTATTAAAAAAAAAGAAAAAGAAAAAAGAAAAAAGAAATTCTATTTATATGAGGTATAAAAAGTAAACTCTTGGAAACAGAAAGTAGAATGATGGTTGGCAGGGGCTAGAAGGAAAAGCAGAGTTGTTCAATGGGTACGGAGTTTTATTTTACAAGAAGAAAAAGTTCTAGAGATCTTCTACAAAACAAACAGTTAACACTACTGTACTGTATTATTTAAAAATGGTTAAGATGGGAAACTTTATGTTATGTGTTTATCACACACAAAGAAGTAAAATGAATGTAATGATGATCATAAATAGGCCGACAGCTGTAACAAAACAAATTAACTTCTTTAAAGTCTGAAATGAACAACCTTGGACTACTAAACCTCACAGCTGAAAGCAATCAGTATTCGGTGAATGCCTACTATGTTTACAGGCACTGTACTGCCCTTCACAAATGCTTCTCACTTAATGGGGAGGAACCCAGTATTTACTCTGCTATTCATGATTAGTCAAGGATTCCTAGGGTATAACTACAACCAACTTCAGGTGATGGTAGAGTCAACAATTAGGGAATATTTTTACAAAGAGAAAATGGCCAAGTTGAGCAGCCACTTTACACAAACAGTTGGAGCAGAACAAGGCACCTTAATAAAAATACTCCAAGAAGTTTCCCATTTATACATAAACATAAATAAACATTTCACTTACAGGGGAATATTCATATTGTCCTTTGGAGTGAAGAAAATGGGCCTAGTATTTCCCTCTCTGGAAAGGTCATCAGAATTGTGGCTATAAGACTGAGTTGGCCTAAAGTGTTCTCTTTTTGAAATGCGATTATTAGAGAGTTTACAGGCTACATTCAGCTGGGCACCCATTCTGTCTGTCTTGGATAATTCCTTAACAGTACTAGATTGGCATGGACTTCCTTTTCTTTCAAAGAACACGGTGACAGGTCTATCCTTTGGGGGTAAGCGAGCAGAGGAGCTGTCTTTCTGGGCAAGAGCTGCATCTTTTACTGATAGGGACCCCAGTACGTTAAGTTCTCCCTTATTTGAGGTATTTAAGCTGAGGAGAGAGGATGGCCTCTCTACTCTCTGCTTTGACTGATAGGAAGATGGTGCCACCAAACACTCTCCAATTCTTGGCTTTTCAATTGTCTTGAACGCTTTGCGCTCCTTCTCTAAAATATCTGTTTGCTGGCGAATCTGTTCCATCATCTCTTTTTCATTCTGTTGCTGCAACTGCTTTTGCCTTTCTTCCTTCTCAGTGTTTAGCTTTTCTAACTTCTTAAGTATAGGATTAGAAGACTCTATATTCAAAGGAGGAACAATTTGATCTTCTCCTGAGCAGTGATACCTTCTAGTTTCCCTGTTGATATCCAAAGTAAGAGCTTCCCCTGGTGTGTCTTCATTTCCCAATAGTTTGTTTCTTTGGATACTTGTGTCTAGTTGGGGATTTGTTTTCAGTGGGTCTTGTTGGGGGATATAAAAAAAAGTAGGCAGACTATTTGAAATGAAGGAGTCTTTCAGCTGTGGTTTACAGGTAATAGACTCAGAACTGCAGACCACCTTTTCCTTCATAGTTCCATCCTTCAAATGCTCTGCATAGCTAGTCTCATTTGAGGCACTGAGGGCATTGTCCCGTGAATCAAATTTTGGACTGCTGGATATCTTAGGTGATGGAAACAGCAAGTCTCCTTCATCTGAAATTACAGATTCTAGTTTGCTCTTTTGGCTTTCCTCAGAGCTCAGAAGTTCCAAGCTTCCTTGAGAGCTCTCACTATCAGGTGTACCCCGTGGAGATTGAAGGCCTTCAGGCACCAATTCTGTAGACCATCTGCGATCCTCTGAAGGAGAAACACCACCAAGAGAACGAACTTTCAGCAATTCTAAGCTAAATATAGCTTGCTCTAGTTCTCTCATTCTCCTACTTTCTCTTTTAGCCCGGCCTACTTTTTTCTGATGGAGATCCTCCAAGGATCTGGGTCTGTCTCTTACAAGCACATCTTCCTGCAAGTCCACACCACTCCGGCTTTGGGCTCTCTCCTGCTGCTTGTTTGGTGACTCCTTCAAGCAGTCCACCGAACTTTCATGGCTAATTCGATTACTCTCTGTTACAGATTTACATTCCTCTATGGCTTTTACTCTGTTGTCAAAAGAACAATCCTCCCATTCTGAAGGGTCTGAACCCTGAATTTCCAGAGATCCATATCCTTTAATATTCACCAATCCAAGTTCTGGTTTTGCTTCTCTTAGCCTTTGTTCTTTTAAAGCTTTAAATCTATATAAAAACAGACAAAATGGGTTACAGAAATATCTTAGTTACCACTGAAGAGAACATACTTCCTGAGAATTTAAGAAAAAATGCAGTTATAAAATCTTTTTACAATACCTAAGTACTTCTTAAATTAACTTGAATGCACATTTTACAATTTTCCTATTTCCATGAGTCAGATGATATTTCATTAAGTGTATAACTTCCACCTGGGCATTTCAGTCAAAATGTAAACTAATTCAGAAGTAAAGCTCTCACTTTAATATTAGCTTTATTTTAAAGTAAACCTCAAACTAAAGTGAAATTTTAATTTAAGTGTGAAATTACAGTTTCTGAAAGTAAAAACAGTTGAATATTGCCAATTTTGTAAGATTCGGCCTAATGTAAAAGTTAATTCTTAGCAGTTATGATCACAGACCATGTAGATTTTCGATCCAATTTAATTCAATAAAACCTTATTTAACTTCCATTATAGACAATACAATGTGGGTTAAAATCAGTAAAAGTATCACAGTATAGTGGAAAAGAAATTGTATACAACCAATTCTAATACAAATTAGACAAGTGTTAACGCAGAGGTATAAACAAAGCACTTGGGAAGAAAGAAAAAAAGCAAGTATTATAGTATAGTATAGAGATTACCTTTGTCTTGCTCTGAATCCTCTACATGTTGATTGCAAAAGGATAATTTTTTTCCTTTGTTCTTGGTACCTTTTACGTTCCCTGTAGGCTTTCCATCTTGCTTGTATGCAAATAGCAGCCATGTGCCTGCGCCTATAGTGATCTCTCCATTTCTGCTGGATAACGATGGCTGCAGCCCGTAGCTCCAAGTACCGCTGCCTCTCTAAGTGAGCACGCCAGGAAGCTTGGAGAAGAGCAGCTGCACTAGCCATAACAAAAGCATCCCTCTGCACAGCTGCATCTCTGACTTGCTTCCGATTTAGGTAATTCCTCCAGAATCTCTGTGGGGAAGACAAAATAACAGAAACTGATTGTCATATCTTACATTGCATTTTCACAGGAAAAAAAGAGAATAAATTTCTTATGTCATAATTACAGGTTAAGTGCCTGTGCAGCTAAATTCTTGGTGATTAAAAATAAGTTTTCTGGCCAGGCGCGGTGGCTCACGTCTGTAATCCCAGCACTTTTGGAGGCCAAGGCAGGCGGATCATGAGGTCAGGAGATTGAAACCATCCTGGCTAACAGTGTGAAACCCCGTCTCTACTAAAAATACAAAAATTAGCCAGGCGTGGTGGCGCGTGCCTGTAGTCCCAGCTACTTGGGAGGCTGAGGCAGGAGAACTACATGAACCTGGGAGATGGAGCTTGCAGTGAGCCGAGTTCACGCCACTCCACTCCAGCCTGGGCGACAGAGAGAGTCTCTGTCTCAAAAAAATAAAAAATAAAAAAATTAGTTTTCTACAAAAGCAGAAAGTGCAACTGAAAAAGATAAATAGAAAAAAGTTTTCTCTTCCAGATATGTTTGGCTAAAACAGCTATTTTAAATACTATAACCTTGATGGAGTTAATTACAGAACTTAATTTAAAGTTTTTGGATGATTCATGTCCTTCAAATTATTAATAATTTTAACATACTATATTCTTTTGTTACAATTTGCCCAAATAACACTAATGGGTTTAAGGTAATCCTGACATACATTCCAAAGATGAAGATACTAAAGATTTTCTTGCACAAATGGAAAAGATATTATGGAAATGATATATATCAATGAGGGCATTAATAAAACAAATAAATGTAAAACAAGGTACCTATCATCCAAAATGAGTGTCTAAAACCAACAGTATATATAAACTCTCAAACATCACTCCAAAAACTGTTAAATAAAAACAACTATGTCAACAAATATTAGGTAACTCCTTAGCCCCTACTCAGACCTCACAAGACATTATAACTACAAATTCAATTTAATTTAAATTCAATGGAATCAATATTTATTAATAGTCTATTATATGCCAGATAATCTGTTGGGTGTTAAGAGCACTTCAAAAGTGGGTATGACATATTCTCATTTCTAAAGTTTACATTATTATTGAAAATGTTTTACAGTAAAAAGGTTCTGGTTACTAAACAAAGGCCAAATAAATTAGTCAATCTCATGCAAAGAATCCTTTGCTTCTCACCTGGATAATAACAGATGCTTGTCTCAGATGGAGGAAATGCTGCCTACACAGCAAGACCCTGAACCATCGCTGCAACAATATGATTCTGCGGAGCACCTCTTGATGAAGCAGATCTTGTAAGTGCTGTCGTTCCTGCTCCTTTAGAAAGACCTACCAAAAGGAAGATGAGGAATGCAGCGAAAGAAGAAATGAGAAATTTATTTCATGAATCATCCTTTCTGTGATAAGCTTTTAGAGAAGAACACAGTGGCAGGCATGTAAATGAAGTACTGATAAATATTCCTACAGATTTATCCAAAGTAGTCATTCTCAAATTGAAATGGGGACAGTAGAATAAGGAAGGTGAGCTGGGTGTGGTGCTACATGCCTATACTCCTAGCTACTCAGAAGGCTGAAACAGGAATGTTGCTTAAGCCCAGGAGTTCAAGTTCTACGGCAAAATAGAGAGATCCGGTCTCAAAAAAAAAAAAAAAAAAAAAAAAAAAAAAAAAGAAAAAAAGGAAGGTAAGCAAGGGAGGAAGGGAGAGAGAAATGACAAGGTCAGCAAGAGTATCAAAATTCCAGCACCAGAGATTATGCTACATTACTCCATTGGCGAAACCACTGCTATAAGTAAATGTATTACTGGTAATAAATCATATTTTTCAAAGGTGTTGCGGTGGGGAAAAAAGTTGAAAACCACAGATCTTGAAGCTTGAATCATATCATGAATAAACCAATGATAAGTCTTTTTGAAATCCAGAGTGCATTAAGCTTCTCACTGTCCAAAGTTATTAATAAGTTTATTTTATTTACTCCTTCATTCCACTAATGTTTAGGGCTTGGGAGGCTGCAAAGGTGAAGGAGACATATCCCTTTAGAAACAGGAATTATACCTCTCATTTGAGAGCAGGTAGATATTATATACCCAAAGAGGAAGATGGTAAACTAATAAGGGCCAGAGACAAAAGATCCCACCTGAGTAACACAAACAGTTGAAAATAATAATAAAGGCATGCACAGGAGACAATAGGACAATTAATCTCCATAAAAAAAGATATTAAGTAATGTGAAGCCACAATATGAAGGTTCTCAAAAAAGAGAAAGATGTTTGTATTTAATGAGGAGGTTATGAGGGGGTTATTATCAAGCAGGAGGCAGACATAAAGAACTAAGTATATTAAGATAATAATTTTAAAATTATGAGTAGAATAAATTAAATGGAATGACAAATACACTAGAATCAGATAAGTAAGCTGTTCACTGTATAAGCAATGTAGATGAGAAGAGATAAGGAATAAAAATAAAATGGAAGCAGTAGTAATGGAGAAACAGAAAGTGATGTGAGAATCTCTTTGTAAAAGGAAAAAAAATCCCTAAAACTTTGTGAAAGGATTAAAGCGAATGGTATGCTAAAGACAATTATGGTTTCTAGACTGAGAAACTGGAAAAGGGATGACAGAGAAAGAAAGTATTTGATAAATTTAAGACCAGATGAATCTTAAATTCATCTTGGGCAAGCTGACTTGGAGATTACAGTAGAACATCTATGGAAAGATGATTTTTAGGCAGTTAAAATTAGAACTACAGCACTGGCCAGAGCTCTGTGATTAATACTGACTATATAATTAAATAAAAACCTGGGTCTAACCAATTGTCTTTTGATATCTGATTCACTATCTTTTTAATAAACAATCTCATAGGCAAAAATTATTATTTTTTAAATAAATGCACTCGATTTTGACAAGAGCTATACAGATTATATTTACCATGGTTTTTCCAACTTGATAATTATCTGGATTAAGATTTATTTTCCTGAAGAAATCCTGAATGTTAAATTTGGATGGAATAATATTTCGGGGAAGAAGTACATGGAAGTGGCTCACAAAATCCTGAAAAATAATAAAAAAAATTGTAAAATCAGAAAGTAGTATATGTAAACAAGACCTTAAACTAATTATCATTTTATTAATCTTTTCCTCTTTCTTTTAAACAGGGTGAAACCAAGAAGTGCATGTTAATTTAAGATATAATAAAAGGTTAATTCGAAAAACATAGGAGGCGGAGAAAGATATTGGGTTCTACATATCATATCATCAAAAGGGAATGAGAGGAAAAAAAAAAGGGCAGAGGCTAATTATCCCTTTTGAGGAAGCTTTATAGAAGACCAAAGAAAAAGTTATTTAACAAGCACCTAAAATTTCTATCAGGGAAAAAAAAAGCAAACGTGGCAGGATAACTGAGAATGAGGCTTTCCGTCCCAGTAACAGCAAAGACTTGCTCAGTTGCTGAACAGCTTCAATACAATTTCCATACCCACAGCAGCAATTGCTGATAAGAGTAGCTGTGAGCCTTCTTGGCAGCTTACTATGAAAGAAAATCCTGCTGAGAAAACTTGAGGAAAAACCAAATGGAATCTTTTCACTAGATAGTTCTCATTGAAATATTTCAGTTACTGGAGAGGTCAGTGCAAAGAATTGTTATATCAGGAGTAAACTTAGTATTAGCAAACATTCTGATCAAATGAGAATAACCAAGTACTGGATTCTATTACAATAATCTTAATGAGATTGCTGCCATTCAATCAAAGTAAATACTGTCTATCCCTTTTCAATTCCGTATACAAAACGTGAAATGGAAAGGAAGAATTAAGAGAAATAAGTAAGCCCTAAAGAAATAATAAGCAAGATATGTGGGAATCATTTACTTGATGTGTCTAAATATGTAAATATCACTATAAAAACAGAACCTGGAAAGAATATTTGGAGCTGTATCCTGATTGGCGAATTCGAACTGTTTCCAGCATTCCAGTGTATCGAAGCTGTCTAAGTACCAAGGCATCATTGAACCTTAAGGGCAGCTAAAGCAAATGGAAAAAAGATTAACCCAGAACAGTAGATCTCCAAATTATCTGTTTATAAGCATGGCTAACTGTTGAGTATCTAGAGATTGATTGGAGGTTGTCTGGTTAAGATATATAACAACTAAGCTGATAGGTAAGGCAAGCTCACCTCTCAGCTGGTAGTTTCAGAGAAGTTCTGACTGCCCAACCCTAGGGAAAAGAGAGAAACCAAGCTTCCAGGCTTCTCTGGTTGTGAAGAGAGAGGACCTTAAAAGCTCAAAAAGAATGTAATCACCCCCAGAGGCCACATAGTCCAATCACTACAAAATCTGTAACAAGATAACCTACAACTGGGTGTGGTGGCTCACACCTGTAATCCCAGCACTTTGGGAGGCCAAGGTCACTTGAGGTCAGGAGTTCAAGACCAGCCTGGCCAACGTGGCAAATCCCTGTCTCTACTAAAAATACAAAAATTAGCTGGGTGTGGTGGTGCACACCGGTAGTCCCAGTTACCTGGGAGGCTGAGACAGGAGAATTGCTTGAAACCAGGAGGTGGAGATTGCAGTGAGGTGAGATCATGCCATTGCACTCCAGCCTGGGTGATAGAATGAGACTCTGTCTCAAAACAAAACAAAACAAAACAAAAAAAGAAAAGAAAACTCTTTTCAGACAGGGCTTCAAGACGTATTTGCTTCTCAAATTCTGGGTGATGCTGAATCAAATCCATATAAACACCTTACAAGCAGGTAAATATGGAAAAATCCATTGAAAGTATTTATAAAACACTATTTTCCTTATAAATATTATAGTTAGTGCTTCCCCTCCACTTATTCTGCTTAAAAGTAAGCCGAGATATGTGCTCTCATTTATAGGACATTTTTACCTTTTCAGCATTAGAGCGGATGCATTTTACAAAATATGGTTCTGCTTGACCAAGTGTTTCCATTAGCTTGCTTAATGATGTCTGCAACAGAAAGCAATATAATTATCATACTCTCCCATTCCAAACTACTAACAAGTAACATATAAATGTAATCAATATGCTGGCAAAACATTCAAAAAGTAGAGGCACACATAGCAAGAGGTTTGTTTTTGAAAAGCACATTGTGTATATTTTTATACTGGTTAAATTATGGATAATTAAGGATAAGGATGGTAGTTTAGTATTAAAGCAGATAGCCTGGAAATAGTAAATATCGCAGATGTATTTCAGAATAATCAAATGTAGAACTTTTTTTCACTTTTCTTCACATTTCATGAAAACAATTTTATTCAAACTCATGTATCCTATAACTTTTAAAATGATTCAGGAGGGTATCCAGTAAGGTAGTACTCCCTTGCTTTACTTTAAATGTCTACAGAGTATGTAATGATATCCCTTTTTTTATTCCTGATAATGGTAATTTGTATGTTCTCTCTTTCTTCCTGATTAGTGGCTAGAAGTTTATGAACTTTTTGATTTGCTCAGCCCAGGCTTGGTGGCTCACGCCTATAATCCCAGCACTTTGGAAGGCCGAGGCGGGCGGACCACCTGAAGTCAGGAGTTTGAGACCAGCCTGGCCAACATGGTGAAACTCTGTCTCTACTAAAAAAAATACAAAAATTAGCCAGGCATGGTGGTGCCTGGCTGAGGCACGAGAATTACTTAAACCTGGGAGGTGTGGGTAAGTAAGGGCAGTAAGCCGAGATGGTGCCACTGCACTCCAGCCTGGGCAACAAAGTAAGACTCTCTCAAAAAAAAAAAATTATTTTTGATCTGCTTAAAGAACCAGCTTTTGGTGTCAGTGTTTTTTGTTTGTTTGTTTTTTTTTTTTGGTCTATTTTTCTGTTTTTCATTTCATTGAATTCTGCTGTTATCTTTATTATTTACTTCTCTCTGCTTGCACTGGGTTTCATATATTCTTTTTATAGTCTATAAGGTAGAAATTTAGATTATTGAATTGAGACACTTCTCCTTTTTCAATAAAAGTATTTAGTGCTATAAATTAACCTTGGAGCACTGCTTTAGCTGCATTGCACAAATTTTGATATTTCATTTTATTTAAAATATTTAAAAATTTTCCCTCCTCTAAAAAATGTATTATTTAGAAGTCTGTTTTATATATTCTAAATATTTGGGGATTGATATTTTTCTTTGATTTCTGGTTTAATTCTATTACAAATACAACATTTTGTATGATTTTAACTCAAATTTATTAAGGTTTTATGGCCTAGTTTATGATCTACCTTGGCAAGTATTTCATGGGCACTTAAAATGAATGTATATTCTGCAGTTCTTGGCTAGGCTGTTCTATAAATTTCAGTTAGGTCAAGTAGGTTAATCATTCTATTCAAGTCTTCCATGTCCTTCCTAATTGTCTACTTACCCTATCAATTACCAAGAGGTATGCTGAAGTTTCCAAGCATAATTGCAGATCTGTCCATTTTTCTTTTAATTCTATCAGTTTTTGGTTCAGATATTTGGGAGCTCCGTTATTAGATGAATACACATGTAAGACTTTGTAAATTGCACCTTTTATCATTATGAAATTATCTCCCTTTATCCTTGGTAGTTTTCTCTGTTCTGAAGTCTACTTTGTCTGACTCTACTATAGTCACTATAGCTTTCTTTTGGTTTTTGTTTGCATGGTTTATTTTTTTCATTTTTTAACCCTTTAGTATCATTGTATTTAAACAGGTTTCTTGTAGATAACATACAGTTAGGTCTTATTTTATCCAATCAGATAATATCCATTTCTTAATTGGACTGTTTAGAGCATTTACATTGTTAATAATTAGTATGGTTGGATTTAGGGCTACCAGTTTTATTACTGGCCTTCTGTTTGTCCTCTCTCATTTGTTCCTCCCTTCCTCCTCTTACTCCCTGCCTGTTTAAAATAGACTTTTGGAGCAGTTTTAGGTTCACAGCAAAAATAAGCAGAACATACAGAGAATTCTCACATGCCCCTTTACCCTCACATGCACAATTTCCCCTATAATTAACATCTTGCATTACTGTGTTATATGTGATGAACCAGTACTGACACATGATTATTAACTATAGTCCATAATATGCATTAGGGTTCACTCTTTATGTTGGACATTCTATGGGTTTAAACAAATATATAGACATTTATTCACCATTGCATTATCATATAGATTAATCTGACTAAAGTCCTCTATGCTCTGCCTACTCATCCTCCCCCAACTAGATCCTGGCAACTACTGATCTTTTTTACTGTCTCCATAGTTTTGCTTTTTCCAGAATGTCATATATTTGGAATCTTATGGTATGTAACCTTTCCATATTGGCTTCCTTCACTCAGTAATATGTATTTAAGGTTCCTCTAAGCCTTTTCATGGCTTGAAAGCTCATTTCTTTTTAGTGTTGAATAATACTCCATTGTCTGAATGTACCATAGTTTGTTAATCCATTCACCTACTGAAGGACGTCTTGACTGTTTCCAAGTTTTACAAATTATGAATAAGGCTGCTATGAATATCCATGTACAGGTTATTGTGTGGACATAAGTTTTCAGTCCATTTAGGTAAATACCAAGAAGTTGTTACTGCTGGATCATATGGTAAAAATACAGTTTTATAAGAAACTGTCAAACTGTTTTCCAAAGTGGCTGCACCATTTGGCATTCCCACCAGCAATGAATGAGTGTTCCTGTTGCTCCACATTCTCACCAGCATTTGGTGTTCTCATTGCTTTGGACTTTTGCCATTCCAATAGCTGTGCTGTGGTATCTCATTTTTGTTTTAATTTGCAATTCCCTAGTAACATATAATGTGGAACATCTTTTCATATGCTTATTTGCCATCTGTGTACTTTCTTTGGTGAGGTGCCCCTCCCCTCTGTTCAATATACTTAATATTCCATATTAATTTATCTACTTTTCAGCTATCTTTGTACTGCATTTTAGTAGCTGCTCTAGGGATTACAACATACAAACCTAACTTGTCACAGTCTACTTAGGAGTTGACATTTCACAAGTTCAAGTAAAACAAAGAAGTCTTAGAACTATATATAGACCTCTGTTACTGTTGTGAAATTTATTACACCAACATACAAATTTTTAAACTTTTCAGTGTTCATTATTCTTGCAAATGCTATTGTAGTATAATACACATAGGGCTTGGCACAGTGTCACATGCCTGTAGCCACAGCTACTTGTGAAGCTGAGGAGGGAGGATAGCTTAAGCCCAGAAGTCGGAGTACAGCCTGGGCAACATTTTATGAGACGCTGTCTCAAAATAATGACAATAATAATACACATAAAATATTAAAATCAGAAGTGTAGATTATGACTTTTTACAAAAGATGTTCTTGTAACTAGAGCCCAAATTAAACATATGTGTGTGTGTGTCTGTGTGTGTGTATATATATGTATAAAATCAGAATCTCAGAAGCCCTTTGTGCCCCATCCCATTTAATTTAGCAAGGTCACTGTACATAAACTATGTACTCATATTTCCACACCCCAACCAAGGGTAATTATTATTCTTACTTTTAAGACGATAAGTTAGTTTAACCTACTATTAAAGTTCATATGAATGGAAAAATAAACCATGTACTATTTTGTATTTGTTGCATACAATTATATTCTGTAAATTTTCAGGGCTATATATTAGTGATCCATTATTTGGCATTACTACCATTAAACTATCCATTAAGAGATGAGTATTTTGTTGTTTCCAGTTTATTATGAAAAATTTTGCTATGAACATACTTGTCTTTTAATTTTTTTTTTTTTTTTTTTGAGATGGAGTCTCGCTCAGTCGCCCAGGCTGGAGTGCAGGGGTGCGATCTCGGCTCGCTGCAAGCTCCGCCTCCCAGGTTCACGCCATTCTCCTGCCTCAGCCTCCTGAGTAGCTGGGACTACAGGCGCCTGCCGCCACGCCCGGCTAATTTTTTGCATTTTTAGTAGAGACGGTAAGCCAGGATGGTCTCGATCTCCTGACCTCGTGATCCGCCCGCCTCGGCCTCCCAAAGTGCTGGGATTACAGGTGTGAGCCACCGCGCCCGGCCATTAACTGTTTTCCAATATGCTTGTATCAATCTACATTTCAACAGTACCATATAGGAGTTCTGAACGCTCCCCAATCTTGCCAACATGTTGTATAATCAGTTTATTTCAGCCATGTTGGCGAGTATGTAACAGCATTGCTTTGTGGTATTAATTGGCATTTCCCTCATGAATCATAATATTGAACAGGTTTTACATAGGTGTATTGGCCTTCTGGATATCATCTTTTACAAATTGCCTATTTGAGACTTTTGTCCATTTGTCTATTAGGTTTTCTTCCTTTTAATAGTTCTTCATATACTACATATATGAGTCCTTTTTTAGTCTTGCTCTTTTTCTTCTTTTAATGGTGACTTTTTTGGTTTAAACAGTTTTATTGAAATAAAATCTACATACTATTAAAATATATACATTGTAGTTCACAAATCAATGAGTTTTAGTAAATTTACACAGTTATGCCACTATCACTACAGTCCAGTTTCAGAACTCCTCTATCACCCCCAAAAAGCTCCTTTCTGCCCATCTGCAGTCAATAACCACTTGAGTCACAGCCCCAGGGAACTATCAATCTGCTTCCTGCTGCTATAAACTATCTTTTAAAAAAATATAATCTTTTTTAGATGGCTTTTCCTCTTATTATAAAAGTAATATGTAGCTATTCTAGAAAACTTAATATACACGTATATGTCCTGAGAATATCAGCTTGGGTTTAATTTGACTAATGACTAAATTCTTAGAGCTATAAATTAAAAGCTGGTTAATTTCTTCAAACCAATCAGCCTTTTCCAAGGGAATTCACACTTTTACAAAAAACAAGCTTAATGTATTCTACATCTTCCTTATACCCACAGTTAGAAAGACTCCTAGGAAGAGAAAAATTTAGTTTCCCCTACTTGAAGCAAAGAGTATGTTGACTGTTGATACAATGGCAGATATATTTCCTAGCAACCTGTGGATCCCTAGGCAGCTGAGTATGGAGAGGAGCAGCAGCTTTATCAGTAAGTTTTAGTAGCTGTAACAAGCAACAACGTGTATGACCGATTATATTAGGAGAAAGCCACACAACTTCTTTTAAAAAACTACTAAGTAGAGACATAGTGCTATGAAGTGACCAGACTTTGACATACAGGTCCATGTATAAACACTGCACAGTTCTTTGCTTTATGATCAAGTTATATCATCCCAGTCATAACTTAAGGCTTTACCTACTTTGAAAGTTTGGTGGTCAAAGGGACTGACTCATTAAAATCTAACATTAGCCTGCAGAAGACAAACTCTCAAGAGTGAATGTTTTAGAGTATAGTGAAGGTGGTAATTTACCAAAAGGCTGAAATAATACAGAAAATATACATTACAGTCTACCACATTGTTACTTATTTCTATTTATCAGTCTGAATTTTCTTTTTCCTTTTTTAATCGAGTATATTTTATGGTTCCATTTTAGTTCTGCTACCACCTTACTAACTGTTAACTCTTTTTTAAAGGATTATTCTAGGATTTGCACCTTTATCACAGTCTACCTTCAAATAACACTATACCATGTTCTCTATAGTGTAAAAGCTTAACAACAGTATATTTCCACTTAGTACCACTTTACGTGTTTTGGGATACTTTTATTATACATTTTATTTCTACCCCACAATATAGTATTATTTTTGTTTTCTATAGCCAATTATTTTAAAAAGAGAAAAGGATTTTTTTTTTCTTTCTTTCTTGAGACAGAGTCTTGCTCTGTCGCCTAGACTGGAGTGCAGTGGCGCAATCTCAGCTCACTGCAACCTCCACCTCCCGAGTTCAAGTGATTTTCATGTCCCAGTCTCCTGAGTAGCTGGGCTTACAGGCACACACCACCAAGCCCAGCTAATTTTTGTATTTTTAGTACAGACGGGGTTTCGCCATGTTGGCCAGGCTGGTCTTGAACTCCTGACCTTGGGTGATCCGCCCACCTCAGCCTCCCAAAGTGCTGGGATTACAGGTTTGAGCCACCACGTCTGTCCAAGAAAATGTGTTTTTAAAATATTAGCCTACATTTCTATCATTCTGGCACTATTCATGTTTTGTGTAAACTCAAATTTCCATGTGGTTTTCCCATCATTTTTCTTTCATATTTAACATTTCTGATATTATAGATCTGCTGGTAATAAATTATCTCAGCTTTTTTGGTCTGAAAATGTCTCTACTTAACATGCATAGAATTCTAGGGTGACTTTTCTTCTCTTTATGGTCTTTTAAAGATATCACTCTCTTGTCTCATGGCTTTGATAGTTTCTGATGATCTTCACTTTGTTACACAAAATGTCTCTTTTCTCCCTCTGGTTAAGTTTAAGATGCTCTCTTTTTAACTGGTTTTAGCAATTTGATATAATGTGCCTTGGTGTGTTTTTGTTTGCTCTGATTGTGGTTTACTGAGATTCTTTGATCTCTGCAGTTTTTTTTTTTTTCCCCATCAAATCAGAAAATATTTTGGTCATTATTTCTTCAAATATGTTTTTCTGTGCCCTCCTCCCTTTCCTCTCCTGAGATTCCAATTACACCTATGTTAGACTGCATCATATTGCTTCATAAGTTATTGCTATTTTCGTTTTTTTACATCTTTGTTGCTTTCTCTGGGCTTTAATAAACTATGACTTCAAATTTACTACTTCTGAACTAACAGATGTTAATCCAATTTAGTTTATTTTTTATTGTCAAATATTACATATTTAATCTCTAAAAGTTTCATTTTAGTCTTTTTCATATCTTCATTTTTTTCTTTTTCATAATACAAATGGCCCTTATTGGTTCCAACAGGCAGTGAAAGAAAGGAGAGGACAGAACAACTCTATCTCCTGAGGAAGTATCCAGAGACTCTGTCATCACCTTCCAAAATAAAGAATCTATTTTGTTCTCATCATATTCATATTTTTTGTTATATCTTTGGGCATATTTAAAAGATACATTATAGCTAATTTGACATTCTTACCTACTATTTACATCATCTTCATCATTTTAAAGTCTGTCTCTAAATACTGACTTTTTCCCCACCTTGTTATGGGTTATTTTTTTCCTGACTCTTTCTCTGCCTTGTAATTTCTCATTGGATGTTAGACAGTGTGTTTTACATTGTTGGATTTTGTTGTATTCCTTTAAAGAGTGACAAACATTCTTCTTAACATGTAGTTAAGTTACTTAGGATCAGTCTGATTCTTTTAAAACTTGATTTTTAGTTTTGTGAAAGCAGGGCCAGAGCAGTCTTTACATTAGGACTATGTTGGTCCCTCAGAAAAACAATGTCTTTCTGAGGATTCTACCTAATGCCTCATGTAATAAAAGGTCGTTTCACTCTGGCTGATGAGAACAGAACTACTCCTCTAATCCTGTATAAATACCAGAAATTGTTAGGTCTACAGGATTCAGGTGATTAGAATAATCATTCTTTCCCCAATCTCATGGAATTTTAACCCACATATGCAGAGATCAGTAGTCAGTCACAGAGACTCAAGGAGACCCTTCAGCAGTCTAGCTCTTTCCCTTCATACAATGTCCTTCTCCTCTTTACTCTGCCTCACAAATTCTAGTTGCCTCTACCTTTCTATCTCCATCTCTTCAGTTAGCAAGACCACTAGCATTTGTTTGGGTTTCTTCTTCCTGAGCTGTAGCAAATTATCTTTAGGTGTTAATCTGGGGCTTTCCTCATTTATTTCCCCTATTCTCACAGATTCGAACCCCGTAATGCTTACTGTCTAATATCTGAAAATATCTGACTCATAATATCTTTTGTCCAATTTCTGGTTGTTTATAGCAGAAGGGCAATTTCTGTATCAGTTAATCCTTTGTGAGTTCTATGATATCATTTTCATGAAAATAAGCATTCAAGGAAGGGCACAGAGTCAAAGATGGCTGGGTGCCATCCATTTTGATCACCTGCAATTTCCTCATCTGCTACTTGGTTTCCTCACCTTTATAATAAATATAATAGTAATTATCCTAGAACAATTGGAAAAAAACTTAGACAACACCTAGAAAATGCATATGTGTAAATTTTTGGCAAAGGGCCTGGAAAACATACTATACATTGGTCATTATCTATGGATGGTAGATGACTTTCACTTGTTTTTGCTCATCTATATTTTCCAAATAATCAAAAATTAACTCATTACTTTTAAAATAACTTAATGGTCTATTAGAAATATTAAAGAGGACTCTTTTTCTAAAAATTAAATAATTCATGAATATAAATTAAGAATATGTAAATTTGGAAGGATTTTAAAAGACACAACAGGATTGTGATTATAACTAAGTTTTTATTGTACTAGCTATATGGTGTTCTTCAAATTAAAGAATGATTTCGGTATACATGGCATCTGTAAAAGATCCAAGGTAACAAAACAAAGGACACTTAACAGCTTAATAATTCTACCTTTCATAATCGTGAGATTAATGTTCCCTTTTCAGACATTGAGCTCACCAAATTACCTTTTGATCAGAATTTGGCTTCCCACGTGGATTTGCTAATCAGGGAGAAATATGCTAATAAACTAACCATTGTATTAAGTCTGCTTATGACTCATATTTATGTTGTATATTAATAAACATATCACTCAACATGATTTTTTTTCTATAACCCATTAATCTTTGCATTTCTAATCTACAAAGTCTGGATTGTGAGGACAGCAGCAAGGTAAAGACAGACATCCCTAAGCACTACCTTCTCATTCTTCCCGACCAAATGCCATTAACCCATATGATTATTAAGAAGGATTTTTAAAATTCATGGCAGTGATTTCATTATACTCAATTCCCTTTCCTTTAAGCTTATTTGCACATATGAGTTATACGGCTCCTTGATCTTGCTTTTTTTCTTTTTTTTTTTTTTTAAAGAGAAAGCATGTGACCAAACAGCCTTCATAGATTCAAATTTTCCTTTAGGCCTATGGTGAGAATTACCTAAAATAAAATGACATTTCTAGCCCACAATTTGAAGAACTGTGCCTATAAATCACACAATGATACATTAGTAGATAATTTATGTTCAAACATCCTAGCTGTAAAGGAAGCATTTTAAAAAGTGTTAACATATACAGATACATCTATCACGAATAAGGAAATTTTTATTCAACAGTGAGCATTGCTTCTGTGATATAAACATGAAATAGAGTAAAATTATGCAAGCATTGTTATCTACCAGATATTTTGCTTATTTTCATAAATATCTACCAAATGAAAAGATCTTAGGAGATAGATGATTTGAGAAGAATGGAAGAGGCAATTTAAAAAGGAATCTGAAAACAATTAATTCTGGAAGAAATTTGGTTAACTATTATCATATTTATTCCTAAAAGCCCCCCAAAAAAGAACTGGATTTCTATGTAGACAAAAGTAAAATAAATACACAGAAAAAAGCCCTTCAGCCTCATTTAGCTAACTATCAATGGTAGCAGCATGAGGTTTAAGCAGGGAAAAAAAAACATACATCATTATGCTAACAGTGACATTATCTAAGCAGCAGGGTTTAAAGGCAGATTTGTTTATAACATCAATTTTCTGCTTTCTCCTCACACTGAAAATAACAAATATTCAGATAGCCATTATCCAGACATATGTGGATGAAAAACAGGCATCTGACTTTTTTTTTTCATCTTTGGTTCTTCTTTCCAAAATGATCAGTAATATATGGCTTTTTAGTCACATAAATTAAAATCCTATTCAAGTACCCTGCAGATCACTTTAACCTTTCAACGACAATCTGAAAGATACAGATTCTTATTTGTTTTAAGCAAAACAGGAAATAACCTGAAACTGGGCACTGATGCTGGGAGGTTTTTTCTTCTTGTGTAAATGAAGAAGAGACTTGGTAATGCGATCTTGTAGTGTCAGTCTTGTCAGGTGCTTTAAAGAATTTACTTCTAGCAAGTGCTGAAAGAAGAGAAAAAATAAATTGCTCACATAAATTAATCTAACAATAAGCCAAAATTCTCAGCCAGTTTTCATCAGTTCCTATCTATATGATCATTTCCCATCTTAAATGACTGTGATGAATATGAAAGACTGATATCCAACATTCATTCTATTCTCTAAAAATAAAAGTACACTTCACAAACTCTCTTGCATCTAGAGTTCTGGATATCGTTTAAGTTTACCAGTAAAAGGCCCACATGTGAAACTGGGAAGGTGTAACTGAGGAAGAGGCTCTGGCTACTAGTTCTGCTTCTGCTAGCAAAAATGCACATACTTTATGTACCTTTTTTCTGTAGTTCCAGCCTCCAGACACTAGTTTTGTGAATGCTCAGAGGCAGAGTGCAGAACATTTGTGTTGTCATCACAACTATACTAAATGCAGCTTAGCTCTGGAGCAAATAGTTGTAGTAGTTTCTGCCAGATGGCTAAATTACACCACAGGCAGTATATACCTGCAAGTAGCAGCTGCACTGACAGCTTCCTGATTTCCTAGCTTTCTAATTTCATCTAGCGACATTCCTGCAAATGTTATTTTAACCTGTGACTTCTAATGATTTTGTAAGTGCCTACTTAATTCCCTTTCTACTTAAAAATATCTACTGTAATTATTGTTATCTCAAACTGAATCCTGACTCACAGAGACAACAACTAAATACCAGGGCGACAGTCGGTGTGCCAGGGACATACACAAAAACAAAGCATAGGCTGGGCACGGTGTCTCATGCCTGCAAACCCAGCACTTTGGGAGACTGAGGTGGGCGGATCATGAGGTCAGGAGTTCGAGACCAGCCTAACATAGTGAAACCCCATCTCTACTAAAAATAGAAAAATTAGGCAGGCATGGTGGCGTGTGTCTGTAGTCCCAGTTACTCGGGAGGCTGAGGCAGGAGAACTGCTTGAACCCGGGAGGCAGAGGTGGCAGCGAACCAAGATCGCACTACTGCACACCAGCCAGAGCGACAATGAAAGACTCCGTCAAAAAAAACAAAAAAACAAAACAAAACAAAAAAACAAAGCATAGTCCCTATTAAGCCTCATCATGATGTACTATACTATAAATTAGGAAAATAGGAGTTAGACATGAAGCAACTAAAGTATACAAAGATAGCTAAACCACACAATATTTATGGTAGTGAGTTTGTAAATGGAAAGAATGTATCTATACAGATGTAAACTATGTCATTTAAAAAGTAGTATAAAGTCAATGTATGAGAAACACAAGATTGTGTTAAAAACATGACAAATTTTCAAGTCTAAAGGTATTTATTTTGACAATACAAACATTAAAAAAACAAAACCATGCAAATTGAAAGAAGTACAACACACATGTAAACAACTTGAATTAAGGAAATGTTATTTCCTACAAATGAAAAGGTTTATTATCTGTATGTAAAAAAAACTTGTAAAAATTCTTAAATAGATATCACAATAAAAAAAAGGGCAGATGATCTGATGAGGCAATTCTCAAAGTACAAATGGCAAGTAACAAAATCACAATCCATTCAATCTCAACCTGTATTGAAGGAAAATGTCATTTCTTTTAAAAAAGGTTTTCTGCATCAGTTTGGCAAATACAAGAAAGACTGACAAGAGTCAGTATTCATGAGGTGGTGGGGAAACATACACTATATACCCACTGTTCTTAGGAATGTAAATTATTATAACTTTCCTAATGAGAAATTTCAAATCTAGATATTTATTCTAAGGAGTTATCAAAAAAGATCTATGTTTTTTATAATAATATACTTCAAAAATAGTGAAAAATTATAGATACACAATTATATAGAATTATTTATATAAAGTATGCTTCATTTACACAACTGAATACTCCGCAGCTCATAAAGTTACTGTAAACCTATATTTCCTGACATGGGAAAATATTTGCAAACACTATTGATCAAAAAAAAAAAAAGCCATGTAAAACAACATACATGTAAAAAGGGTATTTGTGCTAAATATTACACAGTTTTGTTTTACTTTTATTAGCACTTTTGAATTATCACAACTTCACTGTATGTATACTCATGAAAAATAATTTTTCATACTAGTCAAGAATCAATTAGAAGAATTCACAGGTTACCCTTATGTAAAAACAAATTAGCATTGAAGCCTAAAATAATTTCCCCACTTCCACTTTTAAGATACTACTGAGAAAAAGACCTTGGAAATAAAGTTTGAGTTTAAATTGTTTTTCACTATGAAAAAAACACCAGAGGGACTATGTAAAATAAAATAACTACTAAAAAATCTTTGCTGTCAGGTACATTGTAAAAGTTTGTAAAACCAAACATGACATTCATTTCTGCCTCAGAGTCATTCCAATTTTTTTCATTTGCTTGGAATACTCTATTGCCAGGCCTTCACAAGACTTGGTTCTACTTGGCACTGAATTTGTACTTCAAATGTAACTTTCTCAGAAAGTTCTTGCTTAAATACTGAAAAAAAATAGCCCACTTCTATGTCAATTACATGTCACTTAATTTTCAACACTGCATATAGTATCATCTAAATTATTTTTTCATTTATTTGTTAATTTGTATATTGTCTTCTTCTTCTCTAAAAAATAACCTCCTGGAGTGCCAGGCACTGTGGTTCAGGCCTGTAATCCCAGCACAGTCAAGGCAGGCAGATCACCTGAGCTCAGGAGTTGCAGACCAGCCTGGGCAACATGGCAAGGTCTCTTCCCTACTTAAAGTACAAAAATTAGCCAGGTGGTGGCGAGTGCCTGCGGTCCTAGCTATTCGGGAGGTGGAGATATGGGAGGATTGCTTGAGCTCAGGGCCAGAGGCTGCAGTGAACCAGGATTGCGCCACTGCACTCCAGCCTGGGTGACAGAGCGAGACCTGTCTCAAAAAATAAAAAATAAATAAAAGATAACCTCCCAGAGAATTCTGACTGTACCGTTCATCCCTGTACCCTCAATTTCTAAAATAGTGTCTGGTTCAGAGTAGGATTCAATAAATATTAGTTTGAATGAATTAAATACCTAGTAACTGGCCAGGTGTGGTGGCTCACGCCTGTAATCCCAGGCGTGAGGAGGCCGAGGACAGTGGATCACCTGAGGTCAGGAGTTTGGGACCAGCCTGGCCAACATGGCGAAACACCATCTCTACTAAAAATACAAAAATTAGCCAGGCATGGTGACAGGCGCCTGTAATCCCAGCTACTTGGGAGGCTGAGACAGGAGAATCGCTTGAACCTGGGAGGCAGAGGTTGAAGGGAGCTGAGATCACACTACTGCACTCCAGCCAGGGTGACAGAATGAAAATCCATCTCAAAAAAAAAAAAAAAAAGCTAGCAACTAACGAACTTTGAGCAATGCTTTCCCTATCAAGTGGAGATAAGACTTTTTCCCATATACCTAACAATAACCTGGTCAATCAACAAATGTTCAGAGTCATTACTAAAGGTCAGGCTCTGTTGTAAGTGCTAGGGATACATTGCATTCAAGTTCAGGCTACTGGGACATTAAAAAATAATTCGATCGTGCATAAGGTTTATGAAAAAAGATAAAATATGACCATAAATCTAGAGGTAAAGGGATACAGAGTTATTTCCTTTCTTAGGGCTTCAGTTCCTTGTCTACTTCTTTCCTTTCTTAATTCCATCATTATGGTTGAGTTTATTAAGCTTAGTTAACCAGTTTATTATTTTTTTCAACAATTATCTACACTTGCTGTGCAAGGTGCTGTAGACAAAAAGATTAATAAGATATTGCTTGATTATAGTCTAAATGCTTGAGTCTCCCAAAATTCACATATTGAAACCTAATCCTGGTGTGATAGTACTAGGAGGCAAAGGAGAGGGGCCCTTGGGAAGTAGCTGGGTAGTGGTATTAGTACCTTGATAGAAGAGGCCCAAAAGAGCTGCCATGTTAAAACACATAGAAGGTATCATTCCATGAGGAATGGACCATCACTAGACATCAACTCTGAAAACTTGATTTTGAACTTCCCTGCCTCTTGCGCTGTAATATATTTCTTTCGTTTATAAATTAACCAATCTAAAACATTTTATCATAGCAGCCCAAACAAACTAAGGTATTTCTCATGTTATTAAAAAGGACTAAAATGGGTAATAAATTTAACTTCAAGGCTGGGCACAGTGGCTCGCACCTGTAATCCCAGCACTTTGGAAGGCCGAGGCAAGCAGATCACTTGAGGCCAGGAGTTGGAGACCAGTGAGGTCAATATGGCAAAACTCTGTTTCTAGTTAAAAAAAAAAAAAAAAAGAACAGCCGGGCATGGTGGTGCATGCCTGTAATCCCAGCTACTTGGGCGGTTGGGGCACAAGAACTGCTTGAACCCAAGAGGCAGAGGTGGCAGTCAGCCAAGATCGTGCCACTCCAGCCTAGGTGACAGAGTGAGACTTTGTCTCAAAAAAATAATAAATTCAAGATTTGAGCCTAAGTGACTATAAAAATGTACTAGGGGAGCGACACAGTAAAATTACTTTGAGCATGAATTTTGAGACAAGGAAGATATCAAAGCACAAATGTACAACTGCGCTATGCAGCTGTCACTAAAAGAATGTAATTTAAAAAATAGGTGATGTTAGAAAAGTAGATCTAATACAAGTGACAGTTTCAAGTTATGAGGGAATAAATTCTAGAAAAATGGGAAAGTACTACCAAAACAGAGCTATCATCTTGTGGAAGGATGAACTTGAGCTCATGAAAACAGCCTCTGCATTTCAAGTCGATGCTTGTCTGATTCAAACTAGGCTAACTTGTTATCCAAAAGTGAACAGCTGTGTGTCATCTCAGAGACGAAGTTGTACAAACTAAGTGCTGACTGTGGCTCCTGTCAACAGGTTTGATGGAAAGGCTCCCTGTAATAACAAGGATCTCAGATTGTTTTGACTTATCCTGCAAAACCCAACCTAGATGTCATCCCTTCCACTCACTACTTCCACCCATCCACACTCCATCCCTACCTAACTCATCCCTACTTCTTAAA